CACAACACAACACAACACAACACAACACAACACAACACAACACAACACAACACAACACAACACAACACAACACAGCACAGCACAGCACAGCACAGCACAGCACAGCACAGCACAGCACAGCACAGCACAGCACAGCACAGCACAGCACACCACAACACAACACAACACAACACAACACAACACAACCCAACAACCCAACCCAACACAACCCAACGCCAATACACACACACACACACATGCGGCCGATGAACCTCCCAAGAATTGCGGTTGTGACTGCTGGGCTCAGGGCAGGCTCCAGACCTTTAGTCACAGGATTGGACCGGGAAGGGGCCAATCTGTTCAAAGGATTTACATGGAACCCTGAAAAGATGGTTCAAAAAAATGAGGCTCTCTCACGTTCCATGTAATTTTTTTCTGGCGGAGTTGACCATCCCCGGCTGACAACGAAATTTCCCTATTTTGGTTTACGTGCGATTTGTCCCGGGATCTTGCCCAATGCAAGACTTTATAGCGCTCACCAACTCGTCGGCAGCAACGCCTGGTTACTCATTGAACTTTATTGTGTGGAATCTCTCTCCTTCTTTCTGGTTGGCCAGCCAGAGAGTTCTCAGCCAACAGGCCTCTCTTGAGTCGGGTGGATGGAGTCCTGAGGCTCGATGATTGTGATGCCAGCTGGGCTTGCCTCGCGGTTTTTATGTCATGCCGTGGTTCAGCTTCCCTCTCATTTGGAGGGTGTTCCGGGGGCTTCCCATTTACCAAAACCACCAGGGAGCCGTTCCAATCACCAGGGTTTCCCATTTACTCTCCACCAAAAACCCGTTCAATTCCAACGCCCCAACACCAAAGGCTTGCCTTCTCACGCAAGCTTCGCCGCGGAGGCCTGGAGCCTCTCGCTGGCCGAGTGCCGCTCGAAGCGAGGAGTCAGTGGATTCGAGCCGCATCCCGCGAAGTCGAGGAGTGCGCGCGTTGCGTACCAGTCAGGGAGGCTGGGAGACCCCGAGAATTTCTTTTCTGTCCAAGCACACTTGAAAGGGAGCCCTGTAGACGGCTCTTTCAATCACGCGATCCTGCTCTGTGTGGATGGATGGCCTTTTCAATCCCTCTCGTCCCCAATTCTGCCTTGGCTGGGGTGCAGCTTACGTGTGAGCCTTTGCTACCAGTCTTATTTGCTTTGATGGCTACTGTAGGACTTAGCAACTGAAGATTCGTTTCGCTTGACATCAGCAAACAAGGTTTGACAGCTGAAAGATGTGCCTCCCATTGCATTGGTTTTGCTATCGCAAGTTGCCGTTGGATTTGATGGCAGGGCCAAAAAGAAGACATGGAGCTGTCGCTGCTGTTCCACACTCCTGGCCCCTCAAGCGTCATTTTTGCTGCTGTCATTTGCTGCCCGGGCTTCCAAGGCAAAACAATGCAAAATTTGTTTAAACAAGCCCTGGAAGCAAAAGCAGTTTATTTGAAGAGAACTGCTCGGAACATGTCTACATTTGTCCGCAGTCAGATCACAAAACACCAGTCGCCGCAGGCTCCGTACAGCGGAATCTTCGGACTCCAAATCAACACCTTTGTGCCGGCCAAACCTGTCGAAAATTCCCATATCCGCTTTTATAAATAAAGATTCGAACAGCAATCGCCCAGCTTTTCCATGTGTTTTTCACCTCACCAACCCAACCCACAAGTTTTCTTTACCCCCAGCCCAACCGCCTCTCCTCGGCCTCGAGCCGAGCCAACGAGCCAACGAGCCAACGAGCCAACGAGCCGAGGCCAGTTCCGCAGCCTCCGCCACGGCGCCACGGTGGCGGGGCTCGGGGTGGTGGAGGGGCTCCAGATCCAGCCGGCGGCCCCAGAGTGGTGAGTCAGCCGGCGGTCTCTAAAACGGATGTGCATATTGGGGTAAGTCAACCACAGTCAATCCATGGCGGTCGTTTTTTTCTTCTTATTTTTTCCCTTCCTTTTTTTTTCTTCTGGGGGGTGAACGCATGGGGGTCGCTGAACAGGTTGTTTTTTTTGGGGTTGGACCACATATGGAGCGGACGTTGTAGATCACATATGGAGCGGAATTGTTGCATCTGATGTGTGGAGTTTTTTCATGGGCGAAGATGGGTGTTGCTCAAGAGGTGAGACTTGACCGGGGTATTTCCGATTGGTTTCCCGAAGGCTGACAGGAGGTCCACCATTTTGAGACGCAGTGCGGGCGCAGATTCCGGCTGGCACACAGGGCCAGGCCTTGAGTTTAGTTCCAAGTTTCTAGGGAAACGAAGCTTTACTTTTTTTGGGGAACACGGCCCCCTAAATGCACTAGGTTGATAACTCAGGGGCCAACATGTTGAACCTAGTCCGGTCGATTGAGCGAAACAAGGGGCATGGCGCTTCATGCCGGAGCAACCCCGCAAGAATTCCCATGATACTGGGAAGGTCTCACGCAGAGAATCCCCCCCCAATTTGGGGGAAGCCTTCAGCATCCTATGCCTTGGCTTCAACTCTTGGCTCTCTTAAGTGGTTGGCTTGGGTTGCCACTGCGAAACCAAGTGAAGGGAATGTCATGAGACATGCTTCATTTGTGCTACGCCACAAGCGCAGGGACGAAGTCCTGGGCATTGTTGGTGTAAGAGGCATCCCTGGTTGATAGCAACTTAGGTGCCGAACTGTCGAGAGATTTCGACTTTTGGGCTGGCATTCCGGTTGTCAGGAGAGGTGGGCCAAGGGTCGGTTGCCCCGAAGGGAGTCTCAAGGTTGTTTGACCCCTGAAATCTTGATATGCCATGGTGTTTGGGCTGGTGTTTGAATTGCTTTGTTTTTTCCGTGGTTTCCACCTGAAAGCACGAGCCCAAAATGGCTTGGTAGCTCAGGTGCAGCCACCTGCGGGACTGGTGTGCCACGGCGGAAAGGCGCCTGGAAGATACTGAGGCGCTGTCCAAAGGGAGAGTTGGCATCGTGGCAAGAGTTTGAAATTTCCTTCTTTCGGATTTTGGAGACAATGGTGGTTTTCCTTTTGGTCTCCCTTTACCACCCACCTCTCCTCTCCCTCTCCCTCTCCCTTTCCCTCTCCCTTTCCCTCTCCCTTTCCCTCTCCCCCTCTCCCTCCCTCTCCCCCTCCGTCTCCCTCCCTCTCCCCCTCCGTCTCCCTCCCTCTCCCCCTCCGTCTCCCTCCCTCTCCCCCTCCGTCTCCCTCCCCCTCCTGCGGCTTCGCGTTCAGTGAACAATTCGAATATACTGGCTCTAGCGCGCACGGCACTTGGCTCAATCATGCTGGGGACATAAAAGAGGGCATCCTCAAAAGCAGATGCACACCAATCTCTGGCAGCCAGCGACTTTCGAGGCGCGGGCGCGATCGGCGCTGTCCAAGGAGCTGAAGCAGAACAGGCGAGCGCGAGGGGCAAATCTGTGGTAGCCATGCACGGGTGGCTCGTCCTCTTGCGGGGGGACCCCGCCAACATGTATTTTGGTTTTCCTTTTTTTTTAACCGCAAGAAAGGGATTGAACGATTTACACACGCAATCACACACACACACATCCGCATGCATCGTAGAATAGGTTGAGCATACATGAAATAGGAGATGCTGGGTTTTGATGTTTCAAGTCTCAAGAATTCGCTTCGAGTTTCTTCCCAATCATCCTTGCAGGCACACGCTGTATTTGTTCAATGCGGTTTCGGGGCCTAGACAAGGAGCATGTGGCTATTGAGTATGTTGGCACCCCTGTTGGTTCCAAACATGTGAAATGAACCGTTTCCTCGCATTCTCCCATTTCCGACCTCCAACTTTAAAAGGAGTGGCTTTCTCATTTTTTTCTGTCTCGCTTTCTCGCATGTCCCGAAAGGAGCACCGCAGAACCGATCCAGAGCGAGCCCCCGACCCCCCAAACGTTCCTTGCAGGGAGTGCCTCGAGACCTTGGCGGCGGCCAAGGACAGCGCCGCGCTGAGCGGAGGGAATGGTCGCCGAGGTCCACGGGAGAGCTGAAACCGCCGGAAGCCGCAAAGACGGAGACGGAGAGAGGGCTGATGAAAGGGGCTGATGGTCAGGAATCGAAAGCACTCTCTCTGAGTCTCCTCGTTGGTGAATCTTTCTCCTGGGGGAACCAGCCTTCATTTTCTTGGGTGATTGTTTTTTTTTGTTTCTTTTTCCGCAAGTGAGCCTCCGACCAAGGCTTTGTGGCTGCGCTGCTGAGCCGTCGCTGCAAGGCGAGGGGGTGGAGACATTCTTTGCCTCCCCCCCCCCCCAAAGCCCCAAGGCGCTCGGACCTTTCCCAAACACCCAAAGAAAGCCTGGGTTGGAGTTTCCTCCAACCGAAGCTTGGGAGAAGTTGTGTTCAATTCTTGACATGTATGAATGACCTTTCTAAAACTCGCGGACTCTGCTCAAGGTCAAGTCGCAGCGACGCAATTGGTCGCCTGGCGTCAAGATCGCAAACCCGACCCAACCGTGAGGATTTGTTTTTCGGCTCTTTTTACATGTGCGTTCTTTTTTGGGGGCTCCCCACGAGCCCTTTTTTGGCCCCTGGTCTCGGGTCGCCTCCGGAGGACGTGGAGCCGGAGATCCGCAGCAGCTGCGCCGAGGCCATGCAGCGCTGGGCGGAGTCGTCGAAAGAGGCGGAGGCGGGGTCTCGAGGGTGGAGAAGCCTGAAGGCCGATATGGCAAAGAAGGGGACCCCAGAAAACTGGGGACATCTGGAAACCACCCAACATAAATTCATATTTTTGTACATAAGACATAATTATGTGAATATATGTTTGTGATTGTTAAAACCGCTTTGGAATCCCATTTTGGTTGGTAGGTGCACCACGCATTTTAGAACCTCTTTTGGTGGGGATTGGGATGTTCACTGGGAGTACGGGGTTTTGACCCATGGCCATATGGCAAAGAAGGAGAGCGCAAGCTTCCTCAAAATCGTTCAGACAGATGCATGCAGATGTGACATACAGGTTGGAGGAAGGGATGTGAGGGCACATTTTTGTTTGCCCCCCCCGCCCCCCAACCCAGGCACGGGTAAGGGGAGTCCAGGATTTATGAAGCTGCGGATACTCGAGGGGAGGGTTTGGAGCCTATTGCAAGGGTGCACGTTCCTATGAGAGGCAGCAAGTACATATTGATAGTTCACTTTTTGATCATGTTTGGGGGTAGGGCTGTCCTATTGATTACGGGGATCGTTCATTATGTTAGGGGCAAATACCCCATAAGCCAGGTTGGTTGATTTGCGATGGGCACGATATGGTGAACGAAGCTTACTTCGGATCCCCACACCCAGTTCGATGAGGCGCCCTGGAAGCAATATCTCCACTTTGCGATGAACGACCCCGCGCCCAAGGCGGGGAGCCGGGGCCGCGCTTTTAGTGTTCGCGGCATTGGGCTTGTTGATAAGGTTGGGCGGGTGTACGTGAACATCGTGCCAAAGCGGACCACAATGGAAAGGATCGCAATAGGAGGAGGCAGCATCCTGCCTCCTTTGCTTCCAGCTTTCGAATTGCAATGAGAGCTGTTCCGCTCTGGAAAGCATCTACTTGCGCTTGCCGGCGGCAATTTGGGAGTTTGCTTGTGGCAGCAGAGAGTTTCCACTCCAACGCTCTGCAGTTCACACACTGAGGGTGGCTTCTTTGGCGAGCCTCATGCCCCCATCCCAAGGTGGCTGGGACGTGCTTCTTAGTGTTCAAGTTGAGCAAGCAAGAAGAGCCGAGACAAACCTGAGTGCTGGCCGGAAGAAAGAGCTTCGTATTTGTCCTAGAAAGACTCATTTCAAGGTGCTGGCACCGCTGGACATGTGACCCTGGACCTTTATGCTGAGCATGGGTCCCAATTGTCAGAGATCAGGCCTGGAGGCTGTTCTGACATGGGACGTGTTCGGCGCGTGGTGACCTTGCGCTTTGTGCCCCACAAACAAGATCTTTCTCAATCGGGGGATTTGTAGCATCTGGGCGGACCTTCCACATGACGGGTCGACACCAAGCTTGTGTGAGTTTGTGCTGCCGCAGTTTGGTTTGTTGTTCCATTCGGCTATGAAGTTTATTTGGGAACACCCACGTCCAGCAAGCGGCTCGACCACTCAAAACTCATGCCGCTAAGAAGCCCATTTCCCTCATGCAGTTTATACCCACTTGTGGGCCTTTGGGCTATGTTCCGGACGTTCATCATACCTCGCGCTGAGCCTCCTGGCGTCATGCCGAAAACCACCTTGGAACACCTCCAAACTGCCAATCCAAACAAACTATCAAGCTCTCGCATCTATTCATGGGTTAGGCAGCAATTGCATTGCAGGTCCTCCCTCCCTCCCCTCCCTCCCTCCCTCCCTCCCTCCCTCCCTCCCTGGCTTGCTTGCTTGCTTGCTTGCTTGCTTGCTTGCTTGCACGCTGCTTGGTGGCTCGAATTCTCGATCCGCAGGTGCGGCAGGCGGCGCTGCAGGCGCTGGTGGCCCTGCTGGGACCAGAGGCCACCAGATTTTTAACGCCAAGCCCGCAACGAGTTTACGCTATTTTGTTTTTTTTTGTTGCAGTGGACGTATACATGCGTTCAGCCGAGACATAATTTTTTTCAGGGGGCTCTGGGAAAAGCTGCTCCAGTGGCATGCCTCTCCTTCCCTCGCCTCAGGCGAAGTCGTTGGCCGAGGATGTTCGCCTCTTGGACGTGGGGGGTTTGATGGGGTCTCCGCGACACGGGTAGAACAGCCGGTCACTTAGCACGCCATGGCCCTAGCCGTATGATTTCTTTATAGGTGTACTTCCATGGGCAAGTGTTCCATAGAGGGCAATGTGACCGCCTCTGGCACCTGTTCCAACTCCAAGAAGCCATGCCAACCTCAAGTGTTCGTCTCGCTGGGAGCATCTCTCCACGTGCATGTGCCGCTGGAAAGTCGGTGCGACCCTCAATGCTCATGGGGTTAGCCCAAGAAATTGGGAAGTGGCGTTCCAAGATTCCTCCATAGGTTTTGAGCACAACTGAAGCCCGGTGGTTTTTCTTGGGCTTGTTGCATAACAGGTTTGGAGGGTTCTAGAAAGCGGGTTTCCTTTTAAACCCACTTAAAAAACAGGCACCTACTCCCAAATCCGACACAACCATTCACCTGTTGATCCTCAAAGGACGCCCACCAGGGGATCCTAAAAGGCAAACTACAAGGAGGAGGATTTGGGCATATGTTTAGTTTTTCGTTCACTTTCCGGAACCATTTTGACAGAGCAGGCCCAGCAGTACCGGTTTCCAGTCCAGCTAAGCGACACCGATCAAGTTGCGTTTCGTGAGAGAGGCCTGAAAAGCGGGTTGGTGTCTTTTGTTACAACCACAAAACCAGAAAACCCAACAAAGGGAATGACAACTGACACTTTTTGCCATCAGCTTGCAATTTGCGGCTGCGAGCGCATGGCGTGCAGGTCCGCGGGTGCTGGCGCGGTGTCACGACACCTCGGCGTCGGTGGCCGGGGCGGCGCTGGGCTGTGCCGGGGCGCTGGCGGCTTTGGAGGTGCTGAAAGAGGCGGGGGGTTTCTCAGTCGGAACGTCAAAAAGGCGGCGCTTCCCTGACTCAGGTGGATTTGAGGAGGGTTTTAAAGGTTTGGAGTTGGGTGCTGAATGACTCTTGCTTCAGGTTGCCTTTTGGTTTGGAGTGGAGTTTGGGGATTTGAACCCGTCTCTTGGTGGAGTGCTTTGCAGGGTTGGCTTTTGGGTTGGCTTTTTTGGGGGCTGACACTCGTTGATGTCTCATTCTTTTCAGCCAACGTTCTTTACGGTGCAATGGTCAAACAAGCAGACCCCGGCCTCGAGGAAATCGTTGTTTAAAGGGGTGCAGTGGCTGCGGATTGCTGGGACAACTCCCAGACCAACATGGACCCCCAAAGGCCATCCTTCGAGGGTTCTCTGCTTTTTGAGGTCCACTTTTTGAGGTTCCCCTAAAGAGGTGGGCAGGGCTGTGTCCGGAGCAGTTTCTTGGATGACCTGGCCAATGCCAGCACATTTTGTCAACAAGCCACAAGCAACATGCCAGGTTTTAGTGTCTGTGGGGGCAGTGAATGAGACCCGCCGCAAAAGGGGGGGGTGTTTCTGCTCGAGCCAGGTGGCTTTGAGCAGCCTTTCCGGCTTTCACAGTTTGTGGTGTTTGATGCCTGGACTGGGTCTAAACAGTCTCAGAAGGGAAAAGACAAATTTCAATTTGGCCATTTCTTTCAGTACCGCTGCGACCAGACCAGAAGGACACCGGGCTGTTTCGCAGAGGGGATCCAGGGCGCGTGCCATGTCAGCGGGCTAGGAGACTGGGGGAATAGCAGGCAACCGAACATTGTTTTTGTTAAAATGGCAATCCGAGCTCAGCGGATTTGCGGAAACTGGCATTTGGAGGCACATGCAGGCCATGCAAAGCCGCGACTACAGCATCACCATGGAAAGCTGGTTGCGATTTTTTCTGGGAGGGGGGGTTGGTTGTTCCAACCATTTTTTGCGTTGTTGGTCAAATCTAGAGAGAAGCGCGCTGTTTGTCGACCCCTTTGATCAGCGAGCCTTCGGTGCGAAAAATGGAAACATGACATCAGAACGAGGGTGAACAAACAGTAAACCATGTAAGGCTGGAAACAAGCAAGGCGCACAACCCGGAAACAACAACAAAGACAACAACCAGCAACAAGCAGCAAGCGACATGCCAGCAACAAGCAGCCACAATAAAAATGACAAAGCAGCCGACCAGCCAAGCCGCAGGCCTGTCGTTTTGTTTTTTGTCTTCAGGAGGACTTCGACCCCATCATCGACCTCATCTGGGACCCCGAGGCCGCGCGCCGGGACGGCGCCGCGCGCTTCGTGAGCCGCTTCATCTTGGCGGAGGCCTGATCCAAAAGGATGGATGGTGTCCCGAACTGGGGGTCCCCCTCAAATGCTTAGTTTCTTTGATTGGTTTGGAAAGGTTGCCCTTGAGTGGTGGTTTGGAGGACTGTGCTGAAAGGCACTTACTTCAGGCAACCCTTAGTTGGGCTGGGATTGGTCTGGATTTGGTTTTGAACTCCTGGTTCTTGTTGTGGATACATCAAGAAACCAGGTCCAAACCAGCAATTGAGGGAAGCTGATAATAGGGAAACCCCAAAACTGGTGGGTTCCTGTCGGTTTCCCCTCAACCAAAAGAGGGTCCCCCCTAAAAAAAAGGATACACCCATATTAGATGGGGGGGTTCCCCAATTTGACATATATATATATACATGTATATCATCATATATTGAAATCTGTTTCAACACATCCATATATATATATATTTGTATATGCACCATGTGTGTGCTACCACGCTTCCTCCCAAGACTAACTCTTTGATCTATGTTTTGGGCCCATGTCATGTGTGGTGTATATAATTGCCCCGCTATTGTTCTTGAGAACCTTGAGCGCGTTGTCTTATGTGGCTTAATGTTTTATAGCATGCAATAGGATGCGAACTGCACTCAGGCAGCTTCAGGTCGACGCCTGCGACTGCCCAGTGCAAATGTAGTATGCGAAGTACACACTGGCGGCTCAAGCTTGAAAATCCATGCAGTACACGAAAAACGAGTTTCAGGCCCAACGCCATCTTTTCCGTGGTCATTTTCTTTGGAATTTGTCGTGCTGCTTGTCGCTGGCATTGCTGTGCGCGTGGTTCATATTGCTCCGCTTGCCGCACAGTATTGCCGAGGTTGACGGCACGTTGCTGCCTAGCTGAGCCAACTTTCATGTTGCTGCTGCGCTATTGCTGGCAAACAGCCTTTTCTCGCAAGGCCATGCCTGCAACACAACCTTGCACTCCGTATCGTTTTACACCATGTGTTGTAACAGGATTCCCTACTCAAACTGAATCACGCGAAGAAAGCAAGAACGCCCGTTGAGTTCCGGTTCGGCCATCAAAGCTTCCCAAATGCCAGACTTTTGTGTTGATGTTCTGCAGCCAAGCCCGACAAGACTTCTCTCGGGTGCCTTGAAACCTTAACGTGCGCTTGCTGTGCCTCAGGCTGAAATGGCCGCGTGACAAAGCTGGGCCTTTCCGTCCCACACCCCATCTAGGGTTCCCTGCTTTTGCACGTTGGTTCCCTGCTCTTTTCTACTCAAACAGCCTCACAAATGGCTCCTCCTGAGGAGTCTGCACGCACGTTTGGCCTTCCAAGCAAACTTTGAAGCAGGACGTTCTGGACTACCCCCCGGGCGGCTTGCCCAACGGCGCGCTGATGCCTTCGGGCGGCCCCGTGGCCAAGAGGCAGCTCGCAGGGTTTTTGGGGTCCTTTGCTGCTAAGATCAAGCGGCATTCCAGAGTATCAACAAATTGAACTTGTCCACCTCTCTGTGTGTAATATATATATATATATAGAAATGTTGCTAGACCGAGAACCCAGACCCTCCCAGGCACAATTTTGCGGGCTTTTAAGATCGTTGATTTCGCCTTACAATGCACGATTCACTCAGCCGATTCGGGGTCTCTGTATGAGTTCCATTGATTTCTTATGTTCTGCCGATCGCCGCTCATTTTCTGCCGTTGTCTGCTTACGTACCGCCGCTGTGATGTCATTTTCCGGGGACATCCGCTCATGTTCCGCTCATTGTCCGAGACAAAACCGTCCTCAATAGCTCAATTCTATCTCTTTGTTCATCTCAACTTTTTCCGAGCAACACATGCTCAGAACTGAACACTTGGCCAAAATGATTGCACCATTACCATCATTTTTGTTTTTTTTGGGACGCCGACTGTTCTGGTTTTTCTTGTTTCGATCCGAAGTTGACATTTCAGGCCATACCCTTTGCAGTCGGTTCAGGGATCCTTCTGTTCAGAAAATGGTGGCCAGGTTTGCGGGGTTTCTGAGAGTTTCTGACCGACCTTCTCTGGCAGTCCCTCAATTTTCCTTTCTTGGACCCACAAAACAAGTTTTCACCGGAACTTAGTCATATTTGCAGGCTTGGAGAATCAGCGGCCCTTTTTTTTTTGTTGGGGGGGGGTTCGTTTCAGCTGGTAGGCGCCTGCAGATGCTGCTCCAGTTCCTGTGTGAGTTCGCGGGTACCTTTCTGGAGCTCTCTGAGCGCCTGGTGGCCGCGCTCTGGCGGAAGGCCCGGGAGGGGTGGGGGGTTGGGCGTGCTGGCCGCAGTCCAGATGCCCCAAATGGAATACCTCCCAAAAGCCAACCAGGGGTTCATTGATCCAGGGTTGACATATGTAGACATTATGTCTACCCCAAACCAATTGTTTGGCTGTTTTTCTCACACTCGGGTGCTGAAAGCAAAGGGAAGCCAAGACTAAACTGATCCTATTCTAGGATTTTAGGACGCCATCTGTGGAAGTATCCAATTCGATTCCACAAGCTCTTCTGTCATCTGGGTCCCACATGGGTTGAAAAGGGGGAGGGGGTTAGCATTTTCTCTGAACCAAGGGAGCACCTTTAACGTGATAGCGCACTCACTTTTTTGTAACAGAAAGGGGCGCTTTTCCACAATCATGCCCAGATTGTAAATTTGATGCAGGTGGCACGAAAGCCATATGGATTTGTCTCCAAAGCAGAGGATGCCCCCGAAGCAGACGGTTTCCATTGGTTTTAGAACACGATTCCGCAAAGGATGCATCCACATATCCTTGATTCACACAACTACTCCCAAAACAGCCGGCAAATGCGATTTTCAAAACATGCCAACACGTATCCTTTTAGCTCTTTTGAAGAAGAGCATCCTTGTAAAGGACGTTCACCTATCCCTGAGCTAGGCCTCGTGCATAGAAGACTGGGAGCAGATCAAGGCGCTGATGCTGGGGGAGTCACTGCCACTGGAGCAGCACAATGCACTCGCCTTCCTGGCCGAGGCAAATGGGGCGAGTGGAGCGGGTCTTTCTCTGTGTACTTCTTGCTCACAACTCACATTTCTGCCTTCCAGTGTTTGTTGGCTTCTTTCCGTACTGATGGTTGTGTAACTTGGACCCAGTATTTGAAAAGGGCTTTCACGGCCCCGAAAATAGGGGGAGCCTCGCTCGAGTGTTGTTCAAGGAACAAGAGAACCCTGTCCCCTATTATTGAGATTGCCAGGGAGCCCTCTGCGTGTTTCGGGTTTCTTGTGATACATAGATAAGAAAACACGTGAAGAGTGCATGTTCTTTTTTATTGAGAGATCACAACCTCTCATGCCCGGACTCATCAGGCCACGGTGCGCCTCGCCTTTGAAGACTGGCTGGCAAACCGCAGCCCCCTGGCAGAGGCAGGAGTTGAGAGGGTCGTAGGGTTGGGGGTGTGCGGACTTGGGGGCGGGGGGAAGAGGGTCCCGGATTTTGCGCTCGAAGGTTGGGAGGTGGGGTGGAGGAGTTGCTGGTGGGTTTCTTCGAAGAGGTCAAAAGGCGACTGTCATTTGAAGGCCGAACGACCTGGGAGAGGCAACCTCCCTTCCAAAAAAGGGGTGGGGGTGAGGGGGACCTGCAAAAAGACGCGGCACGAAGACGCCACTCGTGAACGGCCAGGCGGTGCTGGAGCGCGCGGGCCGGGCGCTGGGCCGGAACTTGGGCAGCGTGCTGAGCGCCTTCCAGGCGGAGAAGGCGAGATCGGCCGCTTCGGTTGACCTTCGGTTGGGCGTCCTCAAAACCGAGTCGGATGGGTAAAGTGATGAGGCGGTGAGTCCAAACCCTAGGCCTTTGTACCCCTGGTGAACATCAAAGTAGGTTGCAAATGGATGTTCATCCACCCTAAAACGGAGCCATAGGTTATGTCCGCCATTTTTGCGACAGACCCATTTGGGATGAGTTTCCCTCGGGGTGATGGTGAAGGGATATGTAGGGAACCATTTTAGGTTACCCAGTGGTTTGGTTTTTGGCGGTTCCCTACGAAGGCTCACCCGCAAAAAAGCTGAAATGTAAAAAAGATAACCAAACAAAAAGCCACCATATTTCATTTTGGTGGACCCCCATTTTGACATGGTGTTGGCCCAGCAGTTTGAAGGGTTGGAACATCATGGGCCTATGGGTCCAATGGCCGTCTTTGCCAATGGGTCCAAGTCGCAACTCGACCCAGGCCGCCATGCGACGCGCCGCGTCCTTGTGCAGCTACCTCCTGCGCTTCTGCGCCCTCAGCACCTCAGCGGACTCCGCCCATTTTTGGGTGCCCTATTGTGAGACATACCCATATCGAGGTTGACTGCGACCGAAAGTCAAACAAAGCAGAGAGAGAGAGTCGACCTTTGGCCCGGAATCTTTTGGAGAGTGGTCCCGATTCCAACATTGAGTTCGGGGCCCGTATGCTTGAAAGTACATTCAGGCCTCGAATCTCAGACGTTCGCGCCAGGACTAGGCGCGGAAGTGTCATAAAACGCGCCCGTTCTGTTTCAGCGTGCTGGAGTCTTTTGCGGGCTTATTTCATGGTTTTGGCTTTGCTGCGGTTGCTCCCGCTTCGGGTGCAGTTTGGCGGAGCCGTTTTCCAAGGCGGCAAGGGCGTGGTGGGGGAGGCGGCGGAGGAGTCTGCTGAAGCGCTGCGGAAGGCATTCCTGCGGCAGGCGGATCCTGAGGCGGGGCTCAGGGCTCGCAGGCGATCGCAGCGGAGCCTAACTGGCCACACGGGCAAACACGGCCACTGGGGTTGACGCGAAACCGCCATGGATAGCCAGGACATAACAACGAAGGAGGTTGCAGTCGCCTCCATGGCGTTGTTGTTTTGCATGGTTCTGGTTTGCTGCAACATTGCCTTTATTTGTCATCGCGGGCAGCGATGGAGGGGTGAGGTAGCAATGGTCACTCGAAACCAGGCGTTGGAATGGGGGTCCTGGCTTTGTATGGGATTTCGGGTTTCCCTTCCCACACTGAGTTGCAACCGGTTTATCGGCTCCAAAGTCCATCGGCACCCGGCCAGCTTCCATCTAGGTTCACAGGGTGCAACCGGAGAAGCAACACGAGGAAGCTGAGAGGGTGGCTCTTTTGAGCAGTGTTTCCCATCACGCGTGGGAGAATATGAATGGTTAGGCTGTTCGGCTCTGTCGAATCAGGCACTTTTCCACGGGCTTTTTACGCCGAGCCAGGCACTCTCTTGCACAAGCTCAGACATGTTGTGTCGTTCTTTGAGGGTACCCATTTTTTGTGGTTTTGAAGGCGGACAGCCTCATGAAACACCGGGGGGGGGAGGTCCCCTAAAAACGACACACCACACCCATGTGTTTCACCCCCAAAAAGGCGTGCGAGCGCTTGCCCAGAGGCCTTGGAGCACCTGGCGCTGGCGCTTGCCCAGCTACTGGAGCTGTCCCCCAAAGCCAGGCGATCGAATCCATTTGGGCCCTGGGTTCTCAGGAACCGTCATGGCCAGGGTTTTTCTGCTGGAAAAAACCATGAAAACCAACCGAAAGATGATCTTCCACAATTCGCCTGTCCGCTTCCACAGTGGGAAAGACAGAACAGATTTGACAAACACTGTTTGCCGGGATTGAGGTAGCGGTTGCCTTTGCATTTCTACGTGCCCCTTATCCCTTGGCCACCACATTTCATAGCCACTCTGGCCAGCAGCAAGTCGACTTTGTGCTTGTGCAGACAGTTCTGCACCACAAAAGTATGCCTGGCCTTAATCCGTGTAAGAGTTAGTGAACAAATGAGTAGTTTTTACTTTGCATTCGTTTCAGATGTCCTTCCCTTTGGTTTGGCATCAGGTGATAACTGTCCTGACCGGCAATTATTCCGCTTCAATTGCGTTTATATCAGCACGTGTCTTTTCGGTCTGTCCAAAAGGGGGTTGTAGTTTGACAGATTTCCAAATACCTTCCTTTGCGAGGGTTGTGATACCGATCTGACCAGATCTGTCCGTCACGATATCGGGGTTACAGTTTGCCCAGCTACATTGCAGCCTTTGACAAACATGATGATGATGATGATGATGATGATGATGATGATGATGATGATGATGATGATGATGATGATGACGATGGTAGTTAAAGCTTTGGGTTGAACGATGACAGTTTAACTGGGAAGAGGCAGCCTGTCGCTGTCGGCTTGAGTTCTGAATGCAGCTGTCTGCTTGAAATTCATGGCTGCTTTTGGCAAAAACATTGCAACATCTTTTCTGGCAAAAGCGCTGGGCCCCTTTCGGCAGAGTCTTGCAAAGAGTGACTTGCGCAAAGCGACTTACGCAGAGCAACTCGTGGAAAGTACCTTGCGCAGCGTGCAGAGTGACATGCGCGAACGTGATTTGCGCAGAATGACTTTCATGGTGTAACTCGCGTCTTTGCGTACAGGTACTTTCAATTCAACTCGAGCAGGGTGACTTGCGCAAAGTGACTTTCTCGGTGGGCCTTGCTTAGAGTAAGTCGCACAAAGTGACTTGCGTAGAGTGTCTTGTGCAAAGTGACCTGTGCAGAGTGCCTTGCATTGCGTGACTTGCCGTAGAGCGACTTGAGTGCAGCGACTCGCGCAAACTGACTTGCACCCAGTAACTTGCGCAGACCAACCTGCGCACAGTGAACACGCACTTTGTGTGCTACGTTTCCTGCAAATTATCATATCTTTTGGAGCTGAAGCTGCAAAAGCGCACTTTGCGTGCTTCTTTTGTACTTGAAAGGCTACGAGCGCTTCGCGTGCAACTTTGTGCTTAAAAGTTGCGCTGTTCAGCCGAAGCTGAGGCGTGTGCGTCGCGCGCAAGTTGCACAGAACGGCTTACGCAAAACGGTTTGTGCAGAGTGCCCTGCGTAGACTTGCGCAGATTGACTAGCGCAGGGTGATAGTGACTTTCGCATGGTAACTTGCAAAGGATTAGCTTGCGCAGAGCTGCCCTTTTCCTGCCCAGTTCGTGATTTGCCCAGCTAGGGCTGGAAACTAGCACCACGCTGGGATCTCTCAACTAGGACTTGCCCAAACTGGAACCAAGGATCTCTTCTAGGACCAAACTAGGACTAGGATTTGCATATGGGCATTACCTGGTGCTGTGGTGGATTTGCGTGGAGACACCACCTTATTTCTTATAGACATTGGGTTTCAAGCACAATGTCCGTGATAAATAATTTTATAGGAGCCTGTGAGGTCTCCACTGGTGGAGTCCTGAGGTGCCGGCACGCCAGACAAGGTCTGCAGTAGCGCTGGGAATGCAAACTGGGACAGAATTCTTGACCAGGGACTGGACAAGGATCTGCGTATGGGTCATTACCTGACGCCCCTATGGTGGACTTGTTTGGGCGAATCAAGGACCTCGCAACAAGGACTAGGACCAGCCCCCCGAATGAAACTGAATAAAAACCAATGGCATTTCTTTCGGGCCTGGATGCAAGATTGCATATTCAAGATAACATGCACAAGTTTGCCATGGAATCTTTTATCTTGAATCTTGAATCCGGGCCCCCAATGAAATGTCCATCATTTACGTTCGGTTTCATTCGGGGGCCCGAGTGAAATGTCTTTTGTTTTCATTCGGTTTCATTCGGGGAGAGGACGGCGAAGGATTGACAATTGATTGTCGATGTGATTCCCTGTGGACCGAGAGCCCGAAGCTTCCAGATTGCCTTTGGAACTGCGCCTTTGTTTTACTTCCTTCCCTAAAGCCCCCCACAAAGGCAGCAAACACTGCAAATGCCAGTGAATTCTCTCAAAAGGTATGCCCTTACGGGGGGGGGGTATCATATACATATATGGTATCCGTAGCACATATATATATATATATATATATTAATAATGATATGCCTTTTAGGGCACCCTTCTGGGTTCGGTTTGAAGTGAAGATAAAGGTAAGCCATCACCCAGTTTGGGGTCCCCCGTTTTGACACCGACCCATACATGGACCCCACGAGCGGAGAGGCCGGTGGTGCACGAGCTGGCGAAGGGCTTGCGGCAGCGGTTCCTGCAGCTGGCGCCCTTGGTTGGACAAGGAACGGCAGAAGCAGATCACTGCCCTACGAACTCGCATGGACCCCCAAACTTCCCCAGAATTAGCTCCCCTTTTTGTTTTTTGCTTTTTTGGGGTCCCTTTGTTTTCCACTAACCAGGCAAAAAGATAATCTTTTGCAGGTGTCCTAATTCCAGCCTAGCAAAAAGGGTCCCACAAACGGAGATTTCTCTAGACATGGTGGGTTTTGGGGTCCCATGTCAGACTGTAGGGGAGTAACATGCGGTCTCCTCCAAACCTGTATATATATATATATATATATTCACATGCGGCACCCCCCACCCAAATGCAATTTTGGTAGGTTTGGGGGGGAGTAGGGTCTATGGTTCTTTGGTTTGAAGGGGAACCAGAAGGACACCATCCAGCAGTCTCCTCCTCCAATATGCGGTCTCCTCCTTAGATCTTAGGGTCACTAAATGTGCAACACCATCTTAACATTTTGTTTTATGTGTACCCTTGATGTGGGCCATGTGGCGCTTCTTTCCTTAAGGGGGCGTATAAAGGGACCATGGAACCCAGAAAAACACCGTGTTCTTTCGAGGAAGCTCCTTTTGGGACACCCCGAAAAGGGGTTCTATGTGAATTCCTAGGGAGGCAGCGAAATAGTTAGGCGAAGCATGATGCTAAGTTCGATAGCAATCAAATCTTCTTTGAGGGATACGGATTTGGGAGCCGGAAGTTCGCCTCGTTGTTCGCCTTTGGCTCGTCGGACCCAGGACGGTTTGAAACAACATGTCTCCCGCGATGTTGTTGGATCCCAAAACCACACGCCGCCCTTATCCAATAAGGTCAATGCTCGTGGGACATGTTTTGGGCTGAGAGATTGAGGTGAGTTACGGAGAGCAACCCCCAAAGCAAAATTCCGGGACCTGAAGGTTGGGTGAGGGGCTTCTTTCAAATTCATAAAGAGGCGCGACCTCACCCTGGATGATGAACTTCAATAGGGAACCCCCTCAACAGAGGTTGGTGGGACATACATCCCCACCTAAACGGCGTCCACCAAAGGCTCCCCAAATGAATTTAATATGCTTATCCTTGCTCTTTGCAGCATGGACTGAGGGGCGCTTGGTTACTGCCATCACTTGACTGCCAGGAGTCTCCCAAATTTCCATTGGTTGGGTGCCAAAGGGCCCAAGTGTTCCCACCACCGAAAAGGGATGGGCCGTGATCAAAATTGATTCCCTGATCCTCTATTTTTCATTCAGTAAGCCAAGCTCCTTTCCCACTCGCGAAGGTTTCAAGGGGAAATTGTGGAACACCTCAGCCCGATGAAAGCATACACACCTTCGTTCCAACAATCATGGAAGCTGACGATTGGAGGGTTCTGGGGGACCGTCCTTTGCCATGATGGTTGGAAAGAGGACAACTTCACCCAAGCTAACCGCCTGTGTTGGCAGGAGAGATGACACCGGACCAGGCACGCCGGTTGGTGCACAGGGGGTCCTCTTGAATGGGGAATCCCCGAAATCAGCCATTTTTAGGGGATATGTCGCAGCGGGCACCATTCCCAAATTTTCACCAGACGAGAAGCTCTTTTGTTCACATCAGGTCACTGCCAAAAAAACAACACCTGTGCTTTGGATGCCACCAGATTGCAACTCGAAACCGGGATGGACCCTTGAGACGGACCATCTCTGGGTCTCCGAGTCGGATTTCCGGGCAGTGGGACAGGTGCCCCTGCCGGACTCGCTGCTCGCCACCGCCCAGCACCTGCGGATCTTGGCCAAGGCGGCGGCGAACCGACGAAGATAAACATGAAGAAAATAATGAGTGTTTTCTATTAGCCAGTTAGGTTCCCATGACAACGCACGGTGAAGGCGCCGTCAGCATGGTTTGGCTGCAAGTGCGGCTTTCGGCTTTCCATGCGGTGTGCTGTTCAAGAAGGGCCTGGTGGCCGGGTCCATGAACAACTGAAAAGGTAAACGCTGCCGTTGGGGGGCTTCGATTTGTTTTCAGGTTGTGCGAGTGGGGTATGCTTCCAAGCGTTGAACCTTTCGATGGCGACTCACCACGCCCGACCCCAGGCCTACGATGTGTCTCTCTGCGACATGGAAGGCGGGTTCTCATTGTTGGGTTTGTTTGTCCTTTGACTACTAAAACAGTTGTGGTCCAGCATGATAATATTTCTTTACGAACACTCTTATAGTGTCTGTGTGTCTGTGTGTCTGTGTGTCTGTGTGTCTGTGTGTCTGTGTGTCTGTGTGTCTGTGTGTCTGTGTGTCTGTGTGTCTGTGTGTCTGTGTGTCTGTGTGTCTGTGTGTCTGTGTGTCTGTGTGTCTGTGTGTCTGTGTGTCTGTGTGTCTGTGTGTCTGTGTGTCTGTGTGTCTGTGTGTCTGTGTGTCTGTGTGTCTGTGTGTCGTGTGTGTCTGTGTGTTTCTGTCTGTGTCTGTGTGCCTTTTTGAGGCACCTTTTTGGGATCTTAAGAAACCAAAGCAGAAATCCTTGTTTCCGGTCGGCGGCCCGATGTCCAGTTATATAAAACAAGCTGGGACTTTTCCCTTTTGGTTTGCCTTTAAACAGCAGCCAACAGGGGTCATCTCCCATTTGGCTACAAATTTCAATGCGAACATCCGAAATGGTTGGGCAAAAGTCAATTGTCCAGAACAGGGCACTCTGGTAGTGCCTTTTTTTGCGTGTTTGGAGGCTTCCAGTCTTCCCCCTAGAGTGGCGGTTTTCCTTTGGTTTGCCTTTAAAGCCCACGACAAAGGGGGTCCTTCGAACCAAGACAACCATTTTGAGGACCTCCCTACAGGTTTGCCGAAGCCTCCGAGCCGAAGCCAGGCTTCGTGTCCGCAGCGCTGGGCCTGGTGGACGAGCGTTTGGGGGAGAAGAAGGTGAGCGCCGAGCTGACCGCGGCCCGGCAATGTGCGGGGGCGGCGCGGAGCCCCTCGCGGCGGTACCTCTTTGCGGATTTGAGGAACTGGACACATTTCCCTTAAACCAAGCCCAAAAGCGTAAATATGGATGTGTGTTTCTTTGAGGGCACCCTTTTGTTTGTGGTGCTAAAGCACCAAAAGGAGAACAACCATTTTTGCGGGTCCCCGAAAAAGACACGCCCAACTGGTCCCCCTTTTGTTTGTCTTTAATCAGTTGCCTTTTTAGGGTGGTTCTACGGGAAACCAAAAGAAAGCGGGAAGGGGGGGATGGAAACTTACAGTCTAGTTGAAAAACCAACACCCTACAGAAGGTGGTTGCAAAATAGGCCCTAGGTAAGCCACGATGGGACGGGGGTCTGATGGTAAGCCACGATCAAAACCCAGGTAAGCGAAGGTTAGAGGGCGTTTTTGCCATCGTGCCAGGCTGGAAAAGAATGGTCAGTTCTCAAGGTTGTTTGTTGTTTGTGGTGATAGATATGTGGATACTTGATGTCAAGGTGAAACGTCTGGGTTACAATGATGCAATGTTTCAGGGAGACCTCATTGGTTCGGAAGATTTAAGAATGCATCCGTTTGTTGTCGAGGTCAAGGTGTTCAAGGTCCACGGTAGATCTGCCCATGAACACGTTTCGGGGCCACGGAGGTCGAATCGTTTTTCGGGCAAATGTGGATCCGTTTCGGCTGGACCGGACGCCTCGTTTTCAGACCCCTACGGGATTAGTTTACTCTGGGTTTTCTAAAATTGTTGGACCAGCCAGCTGGACGTGTCTCACACTTCAGGAACATGCATGTACCGCAAATGATGAGGCCCTCCAGACTTATCTAGACCTTTTATAAAAGATTGTAGTTGTTTGCTCTAAGTGGACATGAACACTAAGTTTGCTTCAACAACCATGGCACAAAGGCGGAAATTTGGTCGGGGCACCAAATCAAACCAATCCAGTTTCCTACCCTTGGGGTACCCAGACTCGCTGGAAATGGATAGACTTGAGTTGGCCATCTCAGAATCATGGGCCTGCAATTTGCACCCTGAATTCGTGCAGAAACTGCCCTTAGCTGAAGGCGCCCCTTCGTTTCACCACAGTATTGGTTGTGATTCGCCCGAAAGAGGCAAACCCAAGCAGGTATCATCAGAGTCCCGCTCACAAACGAACTTCATATGGGCATATAAAGTGTCGTAATAGGCGGACCACCACAATTGTGGTGTTCGTTTTGATTTTCGGCAAACCGACCTGGAGGACGGACGGTACCCTCAAAAGAAAGCACACACCCAAGTTTTGACCGAACTTCACATGTCTCAAGCAAAACTTCACCCATTTGACTCAACCTTAAAAGGGGGAAAAAAAAGCAGGGCCACATGTGTCTCAGGTGGTGTTGCTAGAACTCCTGGCGCTGTTGTCTTTGCGCTTTGCTGCGCAGCTCATGAAGCCGCCCATGCCCTGTGTGGCTGCGGACCCGCGGGACGACACACAGCTGAAGCGCCCCGACCGAAGCTTCGGGATTACACGGCTCCCGATATTGCCCCTGTAAGGGCGGGTTTGAACATCACGTTTTGGGTCATTTAAGGTTTGTTTCATTTTGGCGGGGTGATGTTTACATGGGAAATACAGGGTCCTTTGCGGTTGGAGGCCAGAGCTATCCGAATTTGCCGAGGGAGCCTTTTCAGAGCTAGGAGTCCTGTAAGGATATGGTAGCTAGATTCCCTGGGTTCGGCCTGTTTGGGTCGCTAGCAGTCGGGGCCGGCCTGTTTGGGCCGCGAACGTGTGTGCCGGCCTGATTCCCGTTAGCAGCCGCAACATGCCAGCCCCAGTTGCCCCTTTGGGTGGTTTTCAACATCTCCTGTTGAAGCCCAACTCGTGAGTTTCCTTATGGGGTGATAACCAAAGGGGAAGTACAGGGAACCCTAGACCCAAACCCCCGTTCTCCAACCGCCGAGTTCTCTAGTCTGTGACTTCTACACAACCATTTGAGCAACAGCCCCAGACAATACACGTGAAGAAGACGGCCTCCACTCAAAAACGCGCGGGGTTCCGCACAAATCTGACCCCCCCCTCCCAAACATACCTTGGGAGCAGACCCCAGCCTCAAGATTGCCTCAACACCCTCCTTTTGGTTGGGGCGAGGTTCTGCCGATGGACCAAGGGAAGCCAACACAAGTTAAAAGCGTCCAGAAGGACACACCACACGCGCACAACCACACACGCACACAGACAAGGGTTCATTTTGTGACTGCCCGAGGTAGACTTGAACCCAGGAATCGGTGTCCCTTTGGGGGAAGATCAAGCAGCCCCGGGTTTAAGTCTACCTCGTCAGTCCAAAGAATCAACTGAGCACACCCCTTTAAAACCAAGGTGAGAAGGGTACAGTATGGTGAAAAGGCTGCCCTCAAAACACATACACACCCAAATGGGAGTGTCAAAATTGGGGGACCCCGAAAAGTGGCGTTCCCTTTGAGAATTTTGGTTACCTTCCGCGGCTGAGGCAGGCACCCACTGCGACGGAGGACTTGCTGGAGCTAGCGGCTTGGCTCAGCCTTCTGTTGTTTTTTTGTGACACCAGGGGGTTGAACGACAGGAAGGCGTGTTTTTTTTTTGGCCATCGCAGGTTATTTGGAACTAGCAACACAACTGCAGATTAGTTCTGTTTTCAAAGTGGACAGAGGACTTGTAGGATGAGGCTTACCAAATCCCGACCGCTTGTCATGATTGTTGGACAGAGGCTAAACTGTGTTGGTTATTTGGAATATAATTTCATGATGGTCTGTGATAGCTCATAAAATTATGTCTTATGCCATACTGTGTCATTTGTTTGATGTTATTGTTTGATGTCTGATTTTCTGCCAAAATGTATGTGGTACTGTTGCGTCTTTTTTTTTCGTGCTTTGTTGTATAGTTGTATATCATGCAGACAGTGTGTGGCGCTGTGCGCATCGCGCCCGCAACGCTTCAAAAAGGGTACGCTGCGGCGTCGAACAAGTCAACCGTGTGCCTGGAAGCTGGATTTTTCCAGATGGACACGCTTTTGTCGGCGTGGGTAGGGGTCCGCCCCAGTTCAGTGTTGCTACGGTGCCGGGGCTTCGTTTCCCGAACGCGTTTGGGTTCCTCAACGGTTCAGTTCCACTCAGGTTCGACAGTACTTGGGGCTGTTCAACAACCATCCTGAGGTACGCATCAACCAGCCGGTCCGCGGGCCAAACCCTGTGCTGGAATGACCAAACACCGCAACCAAGAAGTTTGGAATTCTGTAAACTGAGCGTGCGCAGTAAGAACGGGCTATGTTTTAAAAGCTAAAGTTTGGAAGAGGCCTCCGATCGCTATGCACACCAAGCGCGTAAGCATTAGTCAGGAAGCGACATTATAGGTAAACCTGCCTCCACTTGGCTATGAATTTCACTGGATCCCCCCACGAACCTGTCAACATGGTTGGTGGACATGAACATCAAACACGAGCATGATGTCCACCAAGGGTCCAACCACTCAAGATCCATGCCAAACTGGCTCCAAATGTCGCAGGCAACCTAAGGTTCACAACAGGACCCCGCCTCAAGCAACTCCTCCTGATAGACTGTCACCCACAAAAGCGATCCGAATCCATGAACCATGGGGTTTTATTTACAAAGAAGCAGAAAACAAAGAAAACAGCCTAGAAGTTTACAAAGAAAACAGCAACACGGGTTCTGCTTAGATCCGTGGCAACGCCTGCCAGGCCACGGGCCTCCTGGAGCGCGACCCCTGCCCCCGGGTCCGCTCTGCCGCGCTGGGCGCCGCTTTGCTGGCCGCCGGGGCCTGGTGGAACGCCGCTCACTTCGCGAAGGAGGCTGGGGAGGGAACCGCTGGGGCTGGTTGGGAGGGAGCCAAGCCACTAAGTGAGCTGGGGGTCTCCAAGTTTGCGTTTGAAGGAGCGTTTTCTGGAGTTCTGTGAGGATATGGCAGCAGCCCACACGGCTTGCTCAAAGATATGTTTGTTTTCGAGGGGACTTCAGCAGATGGAGGTGACCACACAAGCTGCGGGGCTCGGCGACTCTTGGGTGCACAGAGCAAAGCCCCTGCCGAGTGAGGCTTGTTGAAATGCGGTGCGTGTCAAAATAGGGGTCCCCCTTTCGCTTCCCGCGAAATATGATCCCGGAGTTCTCCTTGTGGTTTGCCTGGCCCAACTTCTTGGCCACCCCTGCCGCGGCAATCCGCACCCGTCGGGAAGGAGGCGAAGCCCTGGGTCTGCAGCCTCGGGGAGCGCCTCGGCGGCGCGCTGGCCGGGCACCTGGGCCAACTCCTGGCGGAGGCCCAGCTGGTCGACGCCCAAAACGGCGGCGCTTGGTCGAGGTTTTGTGTGGCCCCAAGAGTCGGTTTTCCCAATGGGTGACATGTGTTTCTTTGTTTAAAGGGCACCTGGGAAGGGGGATAAGATGCCCACTTTGGAAGGATTCCCTTTTTTGGGACCGCCCACAGGGGTGAGAAAGGTCTGGGTGTGGTTCCTTTTGAGGGCAAGCTCCTTTTCGGGAAACCCTTATGGTGCATACCCAGTTTGGGGGGAACAGACCATGTTCCAACTCGCCGACCAACAAAACCTGAGCTAGGGGTTGTCACCACTCGGTTTTGATGGTGTCCCTCTTCAGCAGCAATCCTGAAACCAACCCTTGGGGCAATGAAGGTTAACGGTACGACAAATCAATCCTGTTCAAAAAGGTTAACATGTTGAAACTCATGGGGATTGCGCTGATGCATTCTGAACAGAGCCCGGCACCTTCACAACAGACTCCCCAAGTTGAGGAAACAGCAAGTGACCCTGGCTAAATACACAGCTAGTCAAATAGCCCAACTACCAAATGTTCCGGCAGGCACCTGCGCGCACTCATTGCTGCTGTCATAGAATATATTTGTTTCACCAGTAGGCCTCGGTTGTCTCAATAGATATCGGCTCGGCAGCCTTGAAATTTCCGTTGGGGAAGTGGGATTCCAACAGCGCAAGCAACTTGTCTTGTGGTACCTCCCCTACTGGTACATGCAAGGCCAAGGTATCCCCATGTTTGGTTGTTACCCTACACTCTTTGGTCCTTACCCTACACAGAATTGCAGACGGCTTCCAATCAATCTGAGTGACCGTGTTTTCCATGTTGACACCCTTGACCCTCCCGTTCACTGCAAGAGAGGCTGACGGAAATCGGATCAACTGCACTGGAATCCACTATGAGTGACTGTTCCTGCACCTTTGGCAGAGTCCACTTTCTCAGTGTCTTCAACTCAGCCTTTTGCCACGTTGTTTAGGGTAGTATTAGTTTGGGACCCCCGCAATCTCTTCCCCACCCCCCCCCCCCCCCAAAGCTAGCCAGCGCTAGGCCAACACGGTGCCCGCGGACTGCGCGGGGGGGATCTCGGCCTTGGTGGAGCCCGGGGACTTGCTGCGGACCTCCGCCTTCTCACAGCTCTTCGCTCAGCTGCAGCAGGCGAACCGGGGAAGCGGGAAGCACCCCGGCTTCGTGGAGGTCAGCCTTCGGCGGATTTGTCTGTTCTGGGTAGACCTCTTGGAGGGTATCCTCTTTCCAATACGAGCCTCTCACATGGCTGGACGCAAATCCGCAAAGAGGTCCACCAAACGGGTCCAACCACCCCAATCCAAAATTTGACCTTGAACCCATCTTCAGGCCTAATTCACTAAGATGATTGTCCCACGGTCATGACTGAATTTGGTTTCATGGTGCCCCAAGCCCCCCCCCCCCCTCGGAAGTCGAATTGTTTAGCCCCTCGGCCTTTGATTTTCACAGTCCGTGGCGGTTGCCAGGGCTTGGCCTCCGTCGAGTCCGTGCCCTCGGACGTGGAGAGGGTGCAGACGGCGCGGCTGTGCTGCCTGCTGGTGGCCGGGTGCCGCCACCCCGAGGCGAGGGGGGAAGGTGCAGGTGGGGGGGAGGGGTGGGGTGGTGATGGTCTCTCTGGATGTTCTTCCAGGCTGGTTTTCATTCACTGAAAACCCAGGAGCGGATAAGTTGCCAAGCCTTTTCCTACTTCAGAGCCCGCTTCAAAAAGAATTAAGATATTGTGTTGGTTCTGGCTCTTTTATCCCACAGATGAGTTCCCTGCATGTTCAACCATCCCCTCAGAACGCTCCGCATTGATCCAAAGTTAGAACTACGCTCTTGGAATGGACCCTGGTCCACTTCCATTATCTTTGACAAGAGGACAGGCGACAAATTGGGGAAATGATATGGGAAGGAAATGGGATGCCGCTTAGAAGAAATCTGAATGAGTTGATATTCAAGGGCTGCGTTTCCCACCAGCGCCGACGGGCATTTTTGGATTTGGGACAAATCTGGGGAAGCTCATCTGCGAGCAGTTCCAACTTCTAGCTGCTTCTCAAAATCAGATCACGCCTGAGGTGGCTGCCAGCAGCTTGCCGTCGCTGGTTCTCTCCTTGCCCCTCTCCCCCCGAGAGGACCTGCAGGAGGCGCGGCCGGGACATGGTGTCAGGCGACGTTTTACCGGTGTTACAGGCAAGTAAGAAGCGGAGTAAACAAGAAAGCTACTACATCACCCGGCCTATCTCCACGTCTGGGATGCTTTCCGTCCGCCGAGTCTTGGAGCTTGAGCCTTTCTGCAGGGCGGGAAAGGAACTCGTTTTAATCGAAACCTACCCAAAGGTTTCTCTGAATGGATTGTTAGGGGTGAGCTCCGCCTGTGATCATTGTTTAAAGAATCTATTCCTGGGGATGGTATGAGGTGCCCACCTTTCATCGTCATCTTTTATCGTCTTCCGTTGGCCGGTTCAATCGCACCAGCGTGGTGGACGGCCAAGTTTACCGTTTTTGGAAATGGAACCACGAAGAGCAAGTTTGTTGTTTGCACCAAAACAAGGGGGCCCTTTTCATTGACCAAAGAAGGCCGCTGCGCCACTAAGAGGGGAGCCTATTCCAAGGTTGCCCCCGACACCCATCGCTTCCTCTTGTTTTCGGACCGATGTTTTCCACCCGAGGTCAGAGCAGTGAATTTCCAAAAAGGTCATCTTCGGAGCAACCTTTTTGGCGAAAACACCTCTTATACCAAGGGACGGGATGAAATTACGAACATGGGCCACATCGACCTTTTTTTAGACCTTAATTTGTCCCGACAGCTGAAAGCTTTGGGGTCTCAGCCCGAACCGGCAGGTGGCCTGGGTCTTCCTGCGGCGCCTGCGTCGGGAAGCGCACTTAGGGGCCAAGCAGGCGGAGGTGTGGGAACTCGCTACGGGCTTGCAGCGGTTGCACGTTGGTTCTGCTTTTAACCTCCATGTGTTGGCTGTTTTGGGAATTTCTTTGGACACATTTTGTGGGGGGGTCTATAGAGTCCTTGTGTTTTTGGTTTGCGAGAGCCTCGACCTTTTTGTGATGGGGATTGCTTGGACACATAACGCTAAGCCCGGATAACATCAGATGGTGGATTGCAGGGCCACATGGGGTGAGTTTTCTCTGGCGTGGTGTCTGAAGGGCTAAACGTGCAGGTTCGAGGGAGTCCTTGACTTCAGGCTGATTAATCCAGGGTTATTGTCAAAAGCACCCCGTGTCCCGAAGGGGAGTCGAAAGGGAAGCCAGCGCACGCGACAGTTTGGGAGGGTGCGCACTGAAAACCATGTTGGAGGGTTCCGACGCCTTCAAGAGGAACGGATTGAACGAGTTAAATCGGTTTTTGGGGGGCCGCTTTTCGCTTTTGGTGGGAACCCCGAAATTCACCCCCAACCTCAGGAAATCACGAGTCAAAGGATGAAAGGGCAAGCCACGGATTCCAAATCCAGATGTATGTTTCTTGAAGTACAGGACCATAAACATGTGTAGTTTCCTCTTGGTTTCATTTTGAGAATTCCCCTCGACTCGGGCCTCGCCAGGATTTCTTCACGACGCTGCTGGCCGCGGTGAAGGTGGTCCACCAGGTTCGGTCCCTGGGATTGAGACCACACCCCGGCTTGGCTTTGGAAAGGGAAATCAAACGGACACCACCAGATTGGGGGTACCCCGACATGAATACACGCCCATTTGGTTTTGCCTATTTGTTCCTTACAAATCCAAATGCCCTGGTTTGACTTGGGCGTTTAACAGCAGCAGTTCGAGTGGCTTGACGCAACCTCCGCGCAGGACAACGGCACGAGTGTGGCCAAAGAGCTTTCTTCGCGGCTTTTGCAACACGTGGGGGTCGGCAAGCTGCTTTGGCCAAGAGTTCGGTTCATTGAGGACTCGTGGGGGGCTGCGCTCTGACTTGTCCGTGGAAACAGCTGGATGCTCTACTTTGTTCAGATTGCTCTTCAGAGTTACGAACATTCTCGCCACTGCTTTGGCCCATGTCATTTCAAATCTTTGTATTTTGCAAAGGTGAATGCAGCGGGCAGAAGAGGTTTAATTAACGCTGACTCGCAAGAAGCGCAGTCCGCACAGGGATGCACGTGGGACATCTCAAAGAAGCACCCAATTGCCAGCTGATTTGAAGGATCCCCCGTGAAGTATGTGACGCTTGTGCCTTTGACAACCTCTGCAAGGTGCGGACACCTTCGCCTTCGCAGCATGGCCTGAAGTTGGTTGGCCTTCTCTTTTTTTCCCGCCGCGTATCTGTTTCCTTTTTTTTCATTCTCCATCCTTTCCTTCTTTTCCATCTTTCTGCAAAAAGTGATGAGCTCGCCTCAAGGCGAGCTACCATGAGGGTCCCTTAATTTGTGGTTCCTGGTTTCCATTTCGTGATTACATAATTTCCCCGGATGTTTCTTTGTTCTCAGCCCCAACCTGCTCGTTTGGCCCATAAAAGGTTGTTCTCAGCCCCAACCTGCTTGTTTCGCCCATAAAAGGTAAACTGGAGGTCAACCAGGTTTGGGCTTGAAAAAGCGCTTCCCATCCACCCCTGGTTTTCTGAGCCTCGCTTTGGCCCAAAAGCCGAAGAAAGCGACGGATCCGGTGCCGCGTGCGGCGTCTGAGGCTCACCCCGTCGCTGCAGCTGGCGCTGCTGGCGGCTTTGCGGCGTGGCATCTCTGCGGCGGGCAGCGGGGAGCAGAAGGGCTTCTTGGAGGCGGGCCGACGGTTGGGTTGGCTTTGAAGGGAAGGAAGCAACCCCTTTCCAATTATTCAGGCTGGGTAGTTATACCAGGGTGAAAGATGTTGCTCAACTCCCCTCTGAAAGATAGCTCAGCATTGAGCTATACTACTTTGACCCTGTAAGTCTGTCCATGTGCCATCTGCAAATTGTGCAATTCCAAAAGCTCGTTTTAGCCTTGAAGCGGGACCCCAATGAAATGAGGTTAGTACCAATACCAAAAGGGTACCATATTTTGTTTTTATCGAGGACCCCCCAAAATGGTGTTCGGGCACTATGAAACCCAATTACCGAGGACATTGTTGCCTGAACCCTCCTCCAAACATGGCATGTGTGTGGGAGGGACTCTGGAAGATCAACTCCCTCAAGAGGTCCTGTGTTGGCTGCCATCTTGGTGGATGCGCTTGTGTCCCAATTTAGGTTTCCGGTTTTTTGTCTGTTAGCCCTTTTAGCCAAGCAGTTCACTTGCAGGGGGTCGAGGTGGGCCTTTGCCCATTCATATGATCATGATTGTAGCAGGGATCCCCTCAATTGCATTTGTTTGGACCTCCCGTTCGAGGTGTGCCAGAACCTTCCACTGCAGGTTTTTTTGGCCATGGGATACGTCCAACCCAAAGCCCATACATTTTGTTGAACCCTTGCCATCCTTGCATTGGCGGGTATGGTGCAAGAGGGGACAGCCCTTACTTTTCTTTTTGTACGTTTTGTTGTGGCTGATTAACAGAGCCGGCGGGGTCAACTTAAGGTGATTCCAGGAACAAAGGAGCTGACATATTAGTTTCAAAAGGCCTGCTGATGCACCAGGTGAGAAATGCCACACAACTGCCAAATTTGGCCCTCAGTGGTTCTGGCACGGCGAGAGGAAGAACTGGGGCAGAAGAAGCTCTAACCAGGGCAGAGCCCCAAGCGTTTTGTTTTTGTTGGGGGAAGTTGTCAGCCGTCCAATCACCTCCGCAGTTGACACCCGGAAGGAAATTGTAGCTGACCCATGCAGCCCTGCCCTGGCAAGGAGCCCCTGTTTGTCTCAGCGTGATCAGCATATATTGAAGCTGCGGCGTCGGCATCGGCATGAGCAACACGGGTTAGAGTTGCGTTCTTCGATTCTTTGTTGCATTGCCTGTCTTAGCTGAAGTGTTCAGGGGCTGATTCCTTTCGTAGCCGAAACACTCATTTCCATCTTTATCCAAGGGTGTATCTTTTCACATCGGCTGCTCCATTCCACATGAGAAGCGGGTCCCAGGACCCCCCCTCACCCTCCCGCCCTGCTGTAGCCTGAAGATGTCTCTGCCGGAGGCCTTGACACCGTGGGTCACCAAGCATGCCGCTCGGCTGACCTGGATCGTTCTGCCTTTGTCAGAACCTCAAGGGGTCCGAGTGAGGTGGTGGAGGACAACCTGCTGCAGGACCTGGCCTCCTGGGCGGAGTCTCAATCCAATGAGGCGCGGAGCGGATGGCCGGGTGGATGGCACAACTGACTCTAGTCAAAAACGACTCAACATTTCAGCAGCACATCGAGCATTACAGCGCAAGCGACAAAACTGATCTGAGAAACATACTAACAATCTTGCCATTGACCGGGAACCAAGGAGGGACTACTGTGTAGTCACAAGCAGAGCACGTATCACACAGCAGCCACAGTAGAACACCACTATCATTGCATACCTTGACATACTCACCTAGCACACAAGTCAACCGAGCAAGAATTGAAGCAGTCCTAGGACACTACCGAAATTACATCTGACCATGTAGAACACTAGAACACCGAGACAAAGGCTCTGTGCCTCACCGTCCCTGTAAAACCTCCCTCAACAAGACCACACTGCAGCAGCCTTACTCAACCAACAGCTGGGTCCAGACTTGGTGAGTTATCATGCCCGGTTGTCAACACAGATCCAGCCACGCAGCAATGCAGTCCAATGGCAGACCTTGTGCCGCAAACAGTAATCCGGTTCACACCAACGTAGAGGAGCAGATCACAGTTTGTCTTTGGACCTGTTGATCCATGATACCTATTGTTACTTAGCATCCATCCAATGCCCTGGAGCAGACTTGTGCTCTTGCCGAAACATGGTAAATCGAGTTCCTTTGCTCTCTCTAACCCGGCGTGGTCTCGGTTGGTTAGATGGTTCTCTTGTTGGTTGATTGACCGGTTGCCCGGCCGCATGTTTTTTTGGTTGTTTCGTTGTTGGATTGAATTGGTTGGGTGGGTTGGCTCGGTCGCGGCATCCCTGGCACCGTCATTTGAATCTGGCGCCAATGCCTCAATTGGAGCTCCCCAACCGGTAGTTTTCCTTTTGCCAGAAAGGGTAGCCCTGCCAGAAAGGGTAGCCCCAAAAACACCCAAACCCATCTGTTGCGCAGATCAGGTGACAGTTCTGAGTTTCTTGGGGGGATGGCTTGTGGGTTTTGGGCTTATGGTTTGTCGGCTTTGGGTTTGTTTCGGCTTTTCGGGCTGATACTGAGCTGTTGGGTTCAGTGTTGACATTGGCTTGGGCATGATCTGATCGGCTTGGTATCGTGGGCTTTAGACAAACTCAGGGTTGATGGGGGAGCCAGATCTTCGTGGGTTGGTGGACTAGGGGGCAACCAGTCAAAGATGACCCCTTCCCCTTCCCCAAGCAAATGGCAAGGACAACGATACAATACTTCCCCGCTTGCTGTCAATCACCACCTTTCGGTTGCCAATTTGATTTGCGAGTTTCCGTGAGTCATGTTCGAAGGGGCAAGGACCTCTTCCAAGGACCCTCCCTTTTCTTTGAGGCTACCAGCTGGGTTTTTAAAGGGAAAACTCTTATTGTTGGGGGTCCCCGCATTCTGGGCCACCGTTTGGAACCCTGCATCTTTGCCCCTTGCTCAAGATGCTGGCAAACAACATCTTAAACTCCCAGCTTCCCCTGAGCTTCGCCCTTTCTGGGGTTGGGCGTTCAGGCAGCCAAGGGGAACATGGGAGGTTCGTTCACCCCAGGGCTTTCAGGCAACCACTGGGACGCTTCCCATTTTCTTTGGCGCATTCTGCTCGGATGTTAGGACTTTCACTTTTTGCCAACTCATGGGTTTTCCGTGAAAGCCACTTTTCCACTAAGCCACTTTTCCACTAAGCCACTTTTCCACTAAGCCACTGTTCCACTAAGCCACTGTTCCACTAAGCCACTGTTCCACTAAGCCACTTTTCCACAAAGCCACTTTTCCACAAAGCCACTTTTCCACTAAGCCACTTTTCCACTAAGCCACTTTTCCACTAAGCCACTTTTCCACTAAGCCACTTTTCCACTAAGCCACTTTTCCACTAAGCCACTTTTCCACTAAGCCACTTTTCCACTAAGCCACTTTTCCACTAAGCCGCTTTTCCACTAAGCCGCTTTTCCACTAATCCACTTTTCCACTAAGCCACTTTTCCACTAAGCCACTTTTCCACTAAGCCACTTTTCCACTAAGCCACTTTTCCACTAAGCCACTTTTCCACTAAGCCACTGTTCCACTAAGCCACTGTTCCACTAAGCCACTTTTCCACCACCACAGCCACTTTTCCACTAAGCCACTTTTCCACTAAGCCGCTTTTCCACTAAGCCACTTTTCCACTAAGCCACTTTTCCACTAAGCCACTTTTCCACTAAGCCGCTTTTCCACTAAGCCACTTTTCCACTAAGCCACTTTTCCACTAAGCCACTTTTCCACTAAGCCGCTTTTTCACTAAGCCACTAAGCCACTAAGCCACAGAACGCAACCCAATATTTTTTTGGGTCCGACGCCTCTCCGAATCTCGCCTCCAGGCGCTGGCCATGGCGGGCTTGGAGGCGCTGCTGGCGGCCTGTCGCAGCACCTGCCGCAAGCAGAAGGCCCGGAGGTTTTGGGCGGGGCCTTTCAGAGGCGTTCTTGGGGTATTGTGGTTTGGGGTAGTTGGGTTAGGCTGTGGTTCTGTTGGGGTATGAGGATCTCAGGGTATGTATTTGATATATATATATATACAATCATAACATTATATATATAACCATATATATATATATTTATCTTTAAGGTGTTGGTGCTGGCGAAGCCCCGCCTTTTCGATTAGGGTGTCCATGGCCAGGAGTGGGGGTGTGGGGGTGTGGGTGGGGGTGACATCATGGGAACCCAGGACTAATCACTGGTTGTTGTTGTGGTGTGTGTTTTGTGCTTGTTTGTGTTTGCATTTGTGTTTGTGTGAGTGTGACTGTGTTTGTGTTTGTTGTTTGTGGTTGTGAGTATGACTACGTACACACACAATATTTGTTTTAGATGTGTGTGTATGTATGTATGTATGTGTGTGGACGGGCGGCTAGGGTGGGTAGGGTGGGTGCTGGAACCTCGTTTTTTTTTTTTGGTTTTCTCCTCTCTTTTTTCCGTCATCACTGCTGCAACGGAGACTAAGATAGGCAAACATATGTAGAAAGGCCGAGGAGCTGTTCCAAAGAGGGGATGCAACCTTTCAGAGGGATGATACAAGTCCACGTTGATCCGCAGTTTAATGTTGATTCAAGAAGGTTGAACCCGTGGATGCCTCGTAAGGTTCTCGGCACTTTGCCAGGTCATGCACCAACTCCCCCCCCCCCTCACCCAGTGTGACATGCGGTGCTTACCATCGATTTGGAATGTCAGCCGGAGACACACAATGGTCCTTGTGTTGTCATGGGGGCCAATGTGGTCATGAAAGCTGTGAGCAGGATTTCAAGTTGCAATAGCTGTGGCAAGGGTCCTTCAACGAGCATTTAACCCCCCCCCCCCCGCACACTTGCGGCAGAGTTTTGATCACGTTCCGAGTCTTTTCAGATCGGCTCAAATCTCAGGTGAAGGCAGTTCCTAGTGAGCCATGCGTAAGAGGAGGGGGCCCGCTTGTCTGAGTCCCAAACGTGCAGAGGGCCCAAGAAGCCTTTGCAACAAGGTCGCGAAGGGCTCGCGCGGAGTGGGCTCGTGCCAGGAAACTCCTGAGAAGCCCAGCCCCTCGCGACGGAATCGGGGACTGGGCGTTAGGCCAAAGGCGGGCCTTGCTTAAGTCATCGCCCAATGAAGTGTCACACATCGCCCGCTATTTGGGCTACTGGGCGTGTCTTTTTTGAGGGTACCTGTTTTGCTTGTGGTACGAAAATCAGAAGAACTACCAGACCGGAATGGGGGCCTTGGGGTCCCGAAGAGGGCAGAAGATTGGGGCCCGGGCCCTTGGTTTTGGTGGGAAAATTGGGTGGAGTTATCATGCCCTCCCCAACCTATAGGCTACCAAGTGACTATGTCAGTTGCTGTTTTCAAAATCTTTTTAGGGAGGTTGGCACTTTTGAGCGAGAGTGCATGTCGGGGGGATTGTCAAAATCGGACTCCCTAAAATATTTTGTTTGCTTTCCGACTTTTCGTCGCAAGGTTTTGGAAACGCTTGCGTTGCTGGTGGGCCGACCGCAAAGGTGGCGCATAGCTGCCACAGGAGGGGCAAAGTGACGGACTCCAACCATGTTCCAACTTAGAAGGCAATAAAGCATTCTTGCTACCCATTCTTTGTCGGTGCGAGAACATCCGACCGAGTGCAGCATAAGTCCGATCCAGGCAGATGTTTGCTATTTGTCCGCTTGGTCTTAATTGCAATTGCACAAACAGAGGGGTAGCAGACCTGTTGCACATGTTGCGGTTTCCTATTCCTTTGAACAGAGGGACTCGGGGTGCCTACTTTTGAGAGACGGCAATGCCTAGTGGCATGGTGAAGAGAGGCTTAGGGTGGAGAAAGGTATAGAGATAAAAGGGTTGGATGGAGAGGAGGTGTTGAGAGTCTTTACTGTTGGCACACCTCTATCTCTCTCCATCCATTCCTTTCCACACACTCACTTCCTCGTTTGCCAGGCTTTTCTTTCATATTCCTTCATTGCCTGGCATAAGATAGGATGAAGAGATGTGAGTGAGCCAGCTGTGCTGACATTTCGAGAGTCCATGCCCTCCCAAATGGACGACAATGGTTGCTGGACACAAACCCTCCATGTAAATGATGTCTGCCAAGGGTTCCCAGTGAAAAATCATACCGATATGATAATTTGAGGATTTGCACCAGGGTGCGCCTGAGGTAAGCGCCGCCGCACGAGCAAGGGGGGGCGCAGCTTGGCAGACTGGTTGCTTGAATCTACACTGGCTTCGAGCTTCGAATCATTGGGGAAGCTATAGGTCAATAAGGTTTAAAAGAACCGCGAGTTCATTTGACGCATTGTTGCAGCTGTTGCTGTTGCCCGGTAAACAAAACAACAACCGCGATTATGTTGGATAACTTTGTTGGCACGCATCTTCATCTTTGTCATTAGACCTTTTTGCCCCCAAGCATCCTAAATTGACATTGATATATTGACGGCTTACTTGCAAGCAGTGGTACAGGAAGGCAGACAAGGTTCCGCTGCCAAGTCTTGCCCGGTCACCCTGACGAGAATGCCATTCGGCTGTGGTGGGCTCCTTGCTTCCCTGACTCGTAAGAGTAGTACTTTCCCTAGCACAGGACGGATTGCACATACCTGAACCCTTAGACATCTAGACGTTTCTTACGCACGATGAAAAGGAGGGTTCATGTTGCTAAAGGCACGCCTGTTTTCGTGCGGGTACATGTCTGCGAGATCGCAACCTTTGGCATGGAACGACTTCAGTTTTGCATGGTGGAACACAACATGCAGTTCTCAAAATTAGGGACCCTTGGTGGTAAACCTACCTTTTGGGCTCGTAAATCACCCTTGCCCCTTTGTGGCTTGGATTGGTTTGGGATTCCCCCCTGCTCCTCTTGAAACCAGATGGGCAGCCACCCTGAACCTCGAACCACAGATTCCAGCTTCAATTCGGGGTACGTTGACCAAAACTTCGCCCTCCAAAGCCTTCCCCCCTCATGGTCGCAGGGTCACAGATATGTGGGGTATCTTGGGGCCGAGGCTTTGAACGTGTTGGTCGCTAGCTTGACCGGAATTTCCTTTGGTTCCACCAAACACGAGGTTCATCAGCTGGTTTCAGCGGGACAGGTGTGTTCGGTGTGTTGCCTTCTTTTGTCAATCCAACGCGTTTGTTTGTTGCTTGCTTCCAACGCCGAGCCATGGTGGTTTCACTGAATCTGTTTGCCCCATCTCTCACTTCAAGATGGGGCAGTCAATCATGCATGTATACTTCTGCTTCTTCTTGAGAGTACCTTTAGTTTCTTTTTACATGGGAACCAACTCACCCTGAGGTTTCAGATGGACCTCGCCGGTCGCCCGTTTCGGCGAGGCCAGACGCCCACCTCCACGCAGGAGCTGCGGGACGCGGTGGACCTGGAGAAGTGAGCGCTTCCGCGGCGAAGGCAATCAGAGGAATGGGAGATGTGAGTTGAAATGGCCAACGGCCCCAGAGTCTGTTTTAAAAATCTTGGCATGATTTGCTATTTGTTTAAAGCGATGCCCATGGGGTCCATCATTTGGTTCGGACCCCGAGCGGAGTCGATTCTCCTCGCCCACACCGCATGCGATGCGGCCCAGGGGATGGGTCTGCACGCAACACCCGCAACCCGCTGCACCAGCTTGAGGTTTGCCAGCTCCTTCTTGCCGGCCGGTCGGGCTCTTTTATTCAATCTGTTAATGCAGAACCAGGGTGTAACTCGCATAAGTTTTAGTTTAAACCGAACGGAAACAGAAAGCAGACGGGTAGTAGTTCAATGTTTCCAGGTCGCTAACACCAAGGAACAAGCCAGTCGGCTCGATCGGATCAAGAACTTGGGCTTGAGACCAAGGATCCTTTGCTCGCTTTTTGTGAGCCTTTTGGCTAGGCAGAAGGACTGGCTCGTTGCATCTGGCTTCCAAACATGGGATCCCCAGATATGAGCGGTGTCTTTTGAGAACACGGCACCCCGAGCGTGCGGTTTCTTCTTTTTGGTTCTGAGCCAAAGGGGGTCCCTTGCGAGCCAATCTGAATTCGGAACAAGCCCCTTGCATGCCACGGGCCGGCGCGTGGGCGTCGGAAGCATTGTCGCAACGTGCCCTTGTGGGAAGCAGCGCACTGCAGGCAATGCAGAATGAGCAGCCGCATGTGGCCGGTTTGCAAGTGGAAGGTTTGCACGGATGCGAAATGTGCGCGCGGGTTGTTGCTCTTGGCACGACAAGAGTGCTTGTCCAAATGGTGGACCCGCTTTTGGTCAAAGCGAAGCCACAGTGGAAACCACCGTTTGTGAGGTCTAAATCCCTATTTTTGACACGTACCCACAGTTCCAACATTTGCCAAACGTTCTGAAGGCAGCTCACCTGCAAGCTAAGTTACTTCATATAGCTCCTTCCCCTGTGGTTTTCTTCAAGTGGCAGCGCATTGTACTTTACCCAGTTTCTTCTTGCATCAAAACAGAGCAGGCTCTTCTTAAGTGTTGCGCACAGACACACAACACACACACACCCACCACTTGAGCATTTACATTCATCTTGGTTCCCTGGTTTTGCCTTGAGAGACTGGCGCCCGTCCTTTGTTTCGTCGTGCCTCTCTAGGAGCCTTTTCGCACATTTCTGTCAGGGTTGCTATATCGTTCTTGCAGCTGGTTTTCTGGAACCCCATCCTGGGCCCTCGCTCCATCCATCCCTCCCTGCCTCCGTCCATCCGTCCGTCCGTCCATCCATCGATGTGGGTGATTGGAATCAACTGTGCCAACTTACACGATGCTCCCCAAAACATGGAAGTTGCACAGGCACTTTGAGCTGAAGCCCGCCCCTTGTGCAGCGAACCACCCGGCACAGGGTTGCATCGAGTTTCTGAAGACGATAAACAGAACAAACAGATCGGCTTGGTTTCCTCTTACACATGGGTCGAGTAGAAAGATTGGCTTGGTTTCCTCTTGCTCTCCTATGGGCCGAATTTCGAATGATAGTGAGCCACCCTGCACTTCCGAGGCCGCGCTTGGTCGCCCTGCTGCAGAAGATCTTGAAGGCGTGCAGCGGGACTGTCGGATTGCATTCTGAAAGTTGGCACAGTTTCCTTATGGGTATGGGACGACACAAATTGTGCCAAGTGACAACACCTCCGGGTTACCCTCTTGCGATCCCCCAGAGGGAAATCGGTGGTGGTACCCTCTCACAGCTGCTATGAGGCAATGGAAGGAATGGCAAGCGGTTGTGGTTCCGCTTGTAGTGGGGGACTGATCCAGTTTGGGTTTATCCGATTAGTGCGGCCGTACGGATCAAACAAATGAGCAGCGAAGGGGGCAGCAAGAAAGGATGTGAGAGAACACCTGAGTTCAAAAACTGAGAATGGCTTGCCGCGGGAAGATGGAGTGCATTTGCAGAGCGCTACAAGTGGTTCACCAAAGTTCGACCGAAATTAATCTTTTGAAAGTTGCATGCAGCTCTTAGGGACAAATCACAATGACCTTCAATTTTGGATGATTTCCCTTCTCCTATTCGCAAGGGCCTTGAACTTTGCGTCGGGATTCAGAGACCAGCCCGGGGACTATGTTTCCCCTGCGCAGAGGCCCAGTTTCAGAAAAGGTCCAAGAGACGCGTCCTGAACGCACTTCTATTGCCAGCAAATAGCTTTTGGGAGGGTTTGTCTAGTTCACGAGTCAGCTGAACCCGACGGCATTTTCCAGGTCTGGCCAGGGCTCAAGCCATAGATGGGTGGGCGTGTCTTCTCTTGAGGCGAGCCGCCTTTTGAACGGGACGCTAGAGGGAAACCCCGCTCATTTTCCACCGGGGCACGTGATCCCAAGCCATGAGGATCGGAAGGGGAATCAATCTCGAGTGGAGCAATCGGCGGCTGTTCTTTTTGAGAGTCTGCAAGAGAATCCTATCCGTCCCACGAGTCACGCCCATCTGGCTTCATGGAGATGAGTGTCCAAGAATGGCGGACCCCCTTTCGGTCGGAAAAAAGGGGAACGAACACCCTTGCCATTTTTGGGTACGGATTCCTTTGAGACACGCACTTGCGGCCTCCCTAGGCGCTGGTGGCACGGGCGGCCGACAGCCTACCGCCCCCCTTCCAGGCGATGGGTCAACGTTGTCTTGAGGGAACCCACCCCCCTTAGGGTTGGAATAAGGGGAAACCATTCCTAAGGCCCAACTGCTTCGTGCCCGTCTCATTCTCATTTTAAGTGACCAAACTCAAAGGAAGGGTGGCCACAGACAGTGCCTCGGTGTGTGTAAGAATGGGGTCCCATCAATCCTTTTGGCTCGCCTTTCAACCAAAAGGGTACCCTCAATAAAACAAGACAAGCCCAGAACCTCAAATTGGACCTCCCGCCCGCGATTGGGCACACTGCTGGTCAAACAAGCCTTGAAATGCATGATGCCACAATCAGCAGACAACAATTTGCTTTCACCTACCAACTCACATTAGGTCCGTTTGGTCAATATGACAAAAGCGTGCCCAGAACCTCGCGATTGCCTTTTCAGACTTAGATGCCCTCCCTAGGCAAATTCATTTGGCGTTTAGTTTCTCGTCCCTGCGGCTGTTGAAGGCTGCGGCAGACGCAAGGCAACAGTGGAAGGAAGACACATATAGCAAAGGCGAGAACCAGCCTTCCCGCCGCTTGCCTCACTTCCGCTCGAAGGGCAGGCGCGAGGCACCATTTGACAAAAGCAATCCTGTTTCCTGCACAAGTAGCTCCTGGAAAGCAAGCAGCCTGGATCCGGAGGTGTTGTATTTCTGAGGTGTCTTTCCTTTTGCACACGTGCGGCCCTGGACATGTTTGGGAGTCCGTTCTATAGAAAACAAGTTCAGAGTTCTTTGGTGGCCAATCTGAGATTCGTCGAGAGCTTTGCATTTTCATTTTGGTGAAATCCTCCCTTGCTCGCGAGGTGGCGGCTGGAAACGTTGCGGAGGAGGCAGGGCGGTATGGCCAATGGGAGGGGTCAAGAGACTGGCCCCAAGAGGGGGGCCCTCTGAGTTTCATGGTTTTTCGGTCCTGAAATTGAGTCGACTATGCCAAGGACTTAGAGTCAGAGTTCTTAGTTCCGGCATCCTGAAAAGGTCACCCTGGCGTCACCCATGGTGTTCTTTTGCTAAGGTGCCCTTATTGGTTTTACACGGGTATGTGCCAAAATAGGAATCGAACGTGAGACCATTTTTGGGCTTGCGAATTCAGGGCGGGTGGCTGGTGCTGAAGAGGCAACAATGCTCTAGGGAAGTTGTGTCGACTTGCCCGGTTTGTCCCCTAGGGAGAGACATTCCGAGCCAACGAGGCCGACTCTGCTCTTGCACTTATTGACTTCACTTTTTGATCTCCAGGCTCGTTACGGGAAGGTCCTCCCAAGTGCTTCGTGGTCAATGTCCAAAGGATCAAACCGGGCAACGTTTTTGCGCATTGTTTGACGCCCTCGCTTTTGTTTGGGCCGTCAAAAAAGACGGCACTCCCGAAAGGGCACTCCTCTTCTACTGAAGCCGGCAATGCAACCCTTAGGCCGAAAGCTTCCGGGACGCCTTTCGGGGCTTCCTGGAGAACTACTTCATCGACGAGGAGCCTAAGCCAGTTGTCAGCCCTTTGTTAGGGGTCCAGCCTGCTTTCGGGTAGAAACACAGGAGCACCCTTAAACCAGCCGAAACCACCTTTCCCAAAACACCTTTGGCAACCGAAGTTGGGTTTGGTGGCGGGTGTCTAGTTTCCGCCTATTGGTGGATTTTCTTGTGATGCATCTCCAAATAGGAGCTGAACCCCTCAAAACGAGCGGTTTTCAAATTTGGGCTCCCTTAAAGGAGCACCAACAGGGGTGCCATCACAGGAACCCTGACAATGTTCAGCTGTTCTTTCCAGGGAGCTTTTTCCCAGGTGAGTCTCAGGTGGCCTTTGCAAAGTGATTGTTAAAGAGCTGCCCAAGCACCGGCTGCGGGCGGGAGCGCTGGCAATGTCCCCCCAACCGACCCGATTCGTTAAAGGGTGGCCGAGAATACTGTAGCCCTGTGATCGGTGTTCAAGCTTGGATTTCTGTAGAACGTCCCCTAGCTTGACATGTTCAGGTTGATGTGGTACCAAGCACTCCAAGCACATCGAAAGGGGAGCTTGCTTCCTGATACAAACCGACTTCTTGACTGCCGGCTGTGTCAAGAGTGTGTGACGGAGATTTGCCGCCCTTGTCTTACCTACCAACCCAGACTGTGTCTCAGGGTGGCTTTCGAAGGTGGTGCATCGGTGGTGTTCCAAACCCACCACCTCAGAAATGTCGAAGTCCAACGCCATGACGCGAGCGGATGAGGGCTGACAACCATGGCAGCTTGATCCAAAGCTCATTGACTGTCCTCTTTGGGGATGACGGCTGACCATCCTTGTTGAGATCTGCGGCTTGTTTGAAAGGGTGTTGACCATGGGGGCCAGGTGCAATGGTTGCGACTGGAAACTGGACGCCCACGCGGTTTGATTTGGCAGATGAAACTGAGGCCTCCAGATCATGAGTTTAAAGGGCAACTAGAGCTTTTAGGGATCCCCTCTTCCAAGACACCCCCCATAGCATGTAGCCTGCAGGCCGCCTCGGGCGCATCCTCAAGCTCCGCGAGCCCTCGGAGGGAGCTGCGTGGGGGACGCCCGGTGATTCACAGATTCAAAGACCCCTTTTGGAAGACCGTGTTTTCTTTGGTGGCAGGAACATCTTGTTTTTTTTGGGCGTTTTGTTGGGAATGTGGTCGCTGATAGGGACTTCTTAGGGTGTTGTTGAGCATTCCTTTCCACCTTTTCCACTTCGAAGTTCCTCAAGCCTGGTGGCGGGGCGACCCACCAAAGGCCTCAAAACGAGCGTCAAACCTTGGACCCTTGGGTGTGTCTGAAAACAGAAAGCCCAAAGAAAGGGTTTGCTTTGTTTTCCCCTTTAAACTGTCCCAAAAAGGGCGGCGGCAAGAACACACGCCCAGTTTTGTAATCGGGTCGCTGCTCTGATGCAAGTGTGCGGACTGATTCGGTTGGATTTGAGCAGTGTTCGCTCTTTCGTGGTACGCCTATGGGAACCGGGAGAAGGGTAGTTGACTAAAGATTCGAGTTGGCAGACATGAGCCCCCACGTAGTTGATGTCCAAGGATCCCGACTTCAAGCTGGTGACTGACAACGGGCTGCCTACTTTTTTTGGAGAACCTCTTCAGGTCCAGATGCGCCTCCGGCATGAGTCGCCGGTCAGGCTCTGCCTCCCGCGAGCGGCCCAGCACTCCCAAGGCCGGGAGCCATCCGACGCAGCTGCCTTAATGTGGGGAACCTGGAAAGCGCGGGCAGATCATCGTGGGATCAAACCTCTCTCAATAGTCAATCTGTCAGTTCTGGCAAATTTTAAGATTTGCCATAGAGGTGCATCTGGCGGACTGAGCGGAATCACGATCTGCGGGCTTGGCTTTAAGAACCTTAGAGGCCCATTTACGATTACTTCGGTGCAGCAAAGTCTGTGTCCAAGGTGTCTGACCCTCCTCCCGACCTGTTGGGTTGGCAAATTTAGAGGCGTGTGTTGTGTGAGAGTACCGCTTTTGGGATTGGTTATCTATCCGCTCGCCCTCCCGCTCGCCAACGCAAGCATGCACGCATACACGGCGTAGCATGGTGTAAGATCACCTTACACTATACTATGCTACGCACATTGCTTTTTTCAGTTGCATCACAGTACATACACATGTGTGCATATCAATGTACACACAGATGTAATGTTGACCCCAGATCAGCAAACCCCTGGTGAATTACTGGGGGGTGGGTGTCCCCTTTTGGTGGGAATCCTTCACTTTTGTGGGTGTCACCCCCAATTCAAAGGATGGGTTTATTAATCCGGGGGCCCCATGACACACGCAATGCCTATGTGAAACCGGCTTTCCTGGACACCTCCGGATCTGCCTTGGAGCCAGGTGCAGCGGCAAGACTCCGGCTGGTGGCGCGCCACTGCCAAGGGCCCGGCGATGGAAAAGCTTTGGGGAATGAGGGGTTACCTGACGTGGCTGGTCTTTCAGGTGACCAGATGGCCCCTCAAACCGATCTTTTGGAAGCAAACGGCGTGTCCGTGCAACACGTTAGAGCACCAGGTGACATGGGTGCGCAGCGTTCGCGCATAGGCATGACGTCTACATATCTTTGACCACATCGGGTGACACGCGCAGCGTGGACGCGTTGACCCAGATGAGCCAACAGCAAAGGAACACGGGGCACGAGCCAGACATTCTTTCTTAGAAACCAGGAGGCGTGCAATTGTCCCGTTGTTTGTGGGAAGAAGTAGTCTTGACCCTGCCTCAATAGTAGATGCGAACATGTTCTCTACGATTGTGATTTCAGTGCCCCGCAACCTCATTCTAATGATATAGACACATTGGCACAGGCTTCTTGTGCACAGGATATTGAACCTTTTGTTCCGTATTTGGGACGGTTCTGCAAGTGCATGCTCAGACAACATCGTGAACATTGGAGGGGTCTCTGGTGTGGAGAAGCCTGGTGTTGAAGTGTTTGTTTAGGAACCGTGGGTGCTTAGACTGATGGTTGTGTGGAAGGCTGGCCCTCGAGAAAGGTTTCTGACCTTTTTTGGGACACACCGACCAGATTTGATTCTTAGCATATCAGGGACTCAGGGACATGGGTGTTTTCGGTAATTCCCTGCCAACACATATCAGAGTTTGTTTGCCCACCTGTTTGTCCCTCCTTGCGACAGCAGCCCTAATGCTCCCGCCAGAATTCTCTTTTCTGCCTTTGGACATGGGTTGGGTATTTTCAGGCTCGGGTCACTTAAAAACGAGTGCCTTTGTTCTTGGAGAAGCCCAAAGGCAAGCCTTCCAAATCCCCTCCCCGGATGAGTAGCTGGGTTGGGAATCAGTCGACATAAACCATTGAGTATATTCCCTTGGGTTTAGCTGACTGGTGAGCAGCCAGTTGACTCCAATTGGTTTTCTAACCATCTTTGTAAACCTTGCCCTGCGTTAGAACACGATTCAGACAATCTGGTTCTGTACTGCTATGTTTGGGGATCAGATACAACTGCGGTAAGAACAATTTGAACGCCTGTGGATCTCATGAATGCCAGTTTGGTTCATCCCACCGATGGCTTCATGGACTGCCAGCAAAGTATCCCACGGCCACGTGAGCAGCGCCCAACCCCACTGGCAATTTTAGTTGGTGGGTCCACTGTTTCCCGGCTTGAAGGGGGGCTATCATGTTCATCGAAGCACGAATCAATGGGTTTGGGGCGCTCAACTTGACTTTTGTCCGGTTCAACTCACTGCCCGAAAAAGCGACTGTCATATAAAGTTGGAGGGTACCAGTACCCGGTCCAATGCTGGTTCTTGAACTGCTACACATACGCAGACGACAGACTGATAAGGCATCCAACATCGCAGCTAGCTCGTTTGTTGCCCAAACCCTTGCCAATTATATATATATAGGCACAAAGTCACACCCGGCAGCAAGATCCACTACCGTTGTCCAAAGCATTTCAACCTCACCGGACCTATGTGATGTATCGCTCCTTCAGGTTTGTTGACGCAAAAGGACGATATGCTCAGGGAATTGCTTGCAACAAACAGCAAACAGACCCCGGCCTTCGAAGCACGGCAACTTCGACTGCAGCATCTCCAGTTCCAAGCAATCTATTGAAGGGAACATCCAAGAGTTTAGTCTATTCTTACCTAGCTGACCAGCTAAGACCCACCGCCTTCATCATCCACGCCTTGTCTTGCAGGTTCTCAGCAGGTCAGGGAACGAGCCATGCCCTGCTTCTTTAGTTTCTAGGTTCCTCCCACCCGCTTGATCGACCCAGCCGGTGGTTTTGGAATCCGCGCGGACGGATTCGCCTTGAGGTGAGGCATTCCCGGGAGCTGGCGCAGAGCTGCGCCAAGCTCTGCGGGGCGCTGGCAGGAGCCGAGACATGGAACCTGACGGAGGTTTGGATGTTCCGACTTGGGGAAAAAGCGGGGAGACCCATTTTCCGCAACCAACAAGAGAAATCGACGCTGAATTAGTGCTTGCGGTTTAAGCAGCCTTTTGGTGGGTGATGTGTCAAGGAGACACATCAGGAACCCTGTTTCCGTTGGTAGGTTGAGTTTAAGGCTACCCCCTTCCCAAAACAAGGTGCTGATCAAAGGGGCCTTGGAAAGACCGACTCAGTGAAACCGCCCCTAATAGTTCACAGCTGATTGAAGGCTTTGCGTCTCATACCCCAACTAATTGCAAACCAGAACTCCTCTTCTTTTTAGATATTGTCGGTTGAACGTGTTTGATGCGGGTGTGGAAACTCAAGCCCTGAGCCGTGAGCACGGATCCGCACGCACGCTCCGATCCCGACGCAATGAACAACATGCGCGCTGGGCAGGCCTCAATCAAGGCGTAGCTCGTCTCAGAGGAGCTTTGCCTGATCCTCAGGAGCCAGGGTCTCCTGCGTCTTTGTGAGGGGAACCAACAGTAAACCCCCATTTGTTGGGTCCTGCCTTTTTTTGACGCATACCCCCCCACCATGCGATGCTTTCAAAATCGACATTCAAGCAAAGATACGAGCGCGGGTATCCAGAAAACACAAGAGGTGATTGAAACCGCCTTGCAGGAAGTTTGGGTTTGCACCATCGGTCAAGAACCCTGACTAGGCGTTTCATGTTGCTGGGAACTTGCTTTTTAAACTATGACTTTTATGCAACAAGTCAGGTGTAGGTGTAGGTGTAGGTGTAGGTGTAAGTGTAGGTCTAGGTGTAGGTGTAGGTGCAGGTGTAGGTGTGTGTGTGTGTGTTTTCCAGGTTTGGGACATCCCAAACACCCAGTGTTGCTGTTTGTTTGGTTGCTCAAGCTCACAAGGGCCTCTCGGGTTTTCTCTGGGACCCTCAAGGAACTTACCAGTGAATTGCATCTTTTACAGGGCAGGTTCCGAACTGTTTGCAGTCATGAAGCGGTGCACTGTACTCCTCATAGCCCGCGCCCCCCCGCAAACAAACCAACAGGCGGTTGTTGCTGTTGCTTCCAGGCACCTGAACCGGAGTCCTTTGAGTAGTTGGGGTACACCCTCCCCTTTTGGAAGAACAAACCACCTGCGAAGGAGAGCTCGGATAGAAATTGGTCGCTTTTCGGAGCGAGGCCTCAGCTGCTTGCGGCGGACCCCGCGCTGCTGCGGGACGCCCAAGGCAGGGCTTCAGGTTCCACTTTTGGTCCACTCCCCCTCCCCCCCCCAAAAAAGGGGAAATAAGTAAAAACGGAAATAAAGAGACCCCAAAAAACATTACTATTTTGAGCCAAATCAAAGCTTTACGGTACGTATGCATGAGTTGTCATGCATTTCCCTTGAGCAACTGTTTGGGGGTTGTCGAAGCCCAAATGGTTGATGTTCAATACAGATGAATCCAGACTGACTGAGAGGAACTCCTCTACTATAATCATGGTTCGACTTCTGACTCAGAAGTGGACATCACCCTTTTGGGTGCCTGCTGTTTTTAGAACATAAAGCATGTTTGACCAGACCATTCCTGACACTCAGGAAAAGGGGGGGCTTGGTTGTTTTGTAGGAGGCGTTTGGCAACCGCAATTGCTTGATCCCTTGAAAACTGGGTTGTGTTTGGTCAACTCGGAGGCGTCCTGTTTTGTGAGGTGTTTTCAGTTTACCGCACATACCATGGTTAGGTCGTTCGAGCTTGGGCGCATGTTTGGTTGGGTGCCATGCTCATTTAGCAGGACATAAGGATCCCCCGTTGAGAGAACGATGAATGATGCGAGAGATGAGCGACTATCAATGGACCAAGCTGCGGCGTCGTCTCATGCTCAACATGTTCCATCTTCAGATCACCTTCAAGTTGTGAGTGATTCAAGGGGTCTTTGAGAGCAATTATAAGTTTTCCTTTTTGGGAACACTGACTGTTACAAAGTCTTCTAAGTTTATTTTGACCGTGCCATGTTGGACTGTATGACCAGCGTTAGCCACGGTTGAACCAGGTCACCTCCAGGCAAGACATACCAGCAATCTATGTGCCACCAGCAAGAAGCAGCGGAAGACGATCCGGTAGACGCAACAGACACAACCGCCAGTGGAGCAATGCTTTTCTATTGCCAAGGAAAGCAGCCACCCGCACTTCTGTCACTCAAAACAGCCTTCACGGCCCACATGCTCAGAGAAAGCGACCACCAGAAAATCCGAAGCCACCGTTTCTGTTGAGAATTGTGGCTTTTGGGCTCTGGATTTGCTTGGTTTTTATCGCCAGGCTTCCTGGAACTGCATAGCGGGCCCAGGGCAGGCCTCTCAACGGCACGGGCCTTGGGGTTCCCACAGAAGCTTATTGTGTTTGTTGTCACCACCCCCAAATCAGAGATGGCTTTTGTCAAGGAAGCTCAGCCATGAAGCTAGGGGCCCCAGTTTGGACGCTGTCGGTTGCCAACTTTCAATCTGCTCATTGGTTCATACAGGCATCACCCAGGACTCAGCCGAAAATGTGGCCCAGGCTAAACGGAATCAGGAAGGTGATCCTTGAAATGATGCGCTGGGCTAAACGGTGCGGGATGAGATGGATGACTTAGTTGACCTTTTGGTCATGTTAGGAAATTAAGGGTACCCTCTTCAGCAATCATCTTCCCCAAAAGGAAAGCCCTCCTGTCGGCTTCCATGATGGCCGGGGGTGCACGAGTGAAGGGAATCCACTAGTTGCCATGTTAAAGCCAGTTTTAGTCATTGGGGGGAATGTGATGTGCAATTTTTCCGGCCGACACCACCGATTTGGGGATCACCCTATATGTTGACACATACCTGCAAATCCTCAATTGGTGGCTTGGGAAGTTTGATGGTAGAACGGAAACCACCCCGCAACAGATCCAAACCACCAAATCAGGATGGAAGCTGCTGATCCCGAACCACCAAACCAGCAAACCAGCAAACCTGCAAACCACCAAACCACCAAACCACCAACCAAACCACCAAATCACCAACCAAACCGCCAACCCAAGCACCAAACCACCAACCAAACCACCAAACCGCCAACCAAACCACCAAATCACCAACCAAACCGCCAAACCACCAACCAAACCGTCAACCAAGCCGCCAACCAAACCGCCAACCCAAGCACCAAACCACCAACCCAAGCACCAAACCACCAACCAAACCACCAAACCGCCAACCAAACCACCAAATCACCAACCAAACCGCCAAACCACCAACCAAACCGTCAACCAAGCCGCCAACCAAACCGCCAACCCAAGCACCAAACCACCAACCAAACCACCAAACCGCCAACCAAACCACCAAGTCACCAACCAAACCGCCAACCCAAGCACCAAACCACCAACCAAACCACCAAACCGCAACCAAACCACCAAACCGCCAACCAAACCACCAAATCACCAACCAAACCGCCAACCCAAGCACCAAACCACCAACCAAACCACCAAACCGCCACCAAACCAAACCAAACCACCAACCAAACCGTCAACCAAGCCGCCAACCAAACCGCCAACCCAAGCACCAAACCACCAACCAAACCACCAAACCGCCAACCAAACCACCAAATCACCAACCAAACCGCCAAACCACCAACCAAACCGTCAACCAAGCCGCCAACCAAACCGCCAACCCAAGCACCAAACCACCAACCAAACCACCAAACCGCCAACCAAACCACCAAATCACCAACCAAACCGCCAAACCACCAACCAAACCGTCAACCAAGCCGCCAACCACACCGCCAACCCAAGCACCAAGCCACCAACCAAACCACCAAACCGCCAACGCCACCAACCAAACCACAAAACCACCAACCAAACCGCCAAACCACCAACCAACCCGCCAACCAAAACCAAGCCGCCAACCAAACCACCAAATCAACCAAACCAAACCGCCAACCCAAGCACCAAACCACCAACCAAACCACCAAACCGCCAACCAAACCACCAAATCACCAACCAAACCGCCAACCCAAGCACCAAACCACCAACCAAACCACCAAACCGCCAACCAAGCCACCAAACCACCAACCAAACCACCAAATCACCAACCAAACCGCCAACCCAAGCACCAAACCACCAACCAAACCACCAAACCGCCAACCAAACCACCAAATCACCAACCCAACCGCCAAACCACCAACCAAACCGTCAACCAAGCCGCCAACCAAACCGCCAACCCAAGCACCAAACCACCAACCAAACCACCAAACCGCCAACCAAACCACCAAGTCACCAACCAAACCGCCAACCCAAGCACCAAACCACCAACCAAACCACCAAACCGCAACCAAACCACCAAACCGCCAACCAAACCACCAAATCACCAACCAAACCGCCAACCCAAGCACCAAACCACCAACCAAACCACCAAACCGCCAACCAAACCACCAAATCACCAACCAAACCGCCAAACCACCAACCAAACCGTCAACCAAGCCGCCAACCAAACCGCCAACCCAAGCACCAAACCACCAACCAAACCACCAAACCGCCAACGCCACCAACCAAACCACAAAACCACCAACCAAACCGCCAAACCACCAACCAAACCGTCAACCAAGCCGCCAACCAAACCGCCAACCCAAGCACCAAACCACCAACCACCAAACCGCCAACCAAACCACCAAATCACCAACCAAACCGCCAAACCACCAACCAAACCGTCAACCAAGCCGCCAACCAAACCGCCAACCCAAGCACCAACCAAACCACCAAACCGCCAACCAAACCACCAAGTCACCAACCAAACCGCCAACCCAAGCACCAAACCACCAACCAAACCACCAAACCGCCAACCAAACCACCAAATCACCAACCAAACCGCCAAACCACCAACCAAACCGTCAACCAAGCCGCCAACCAAACCGCCAACCCAAGCACCAAACCACCAACCAAAC